GCAAACATTCCAGTTGGATGAGACCACAGCAACAACAGAAGTCCTGCAGATACAAGGAGAAATAAAAATTCCCTACTGTCACCACAAGAGCTGTGGAAAAGAGACTCCTATAAAAGGCAGTCCTATTTCTAGGAATGAGTATCGGTGTACTGAATTCTGTGTCTATTTTAGGGCATGACAGAACAGATGTAACTTAGTTTATTGGAGAGGATTTCTTCCCATCTAATTATATAATGGCAGAATTTCTTGCATTGGTTTTGAGGGGAAGTGGAGAAGAAGAAATTGAAAAGCAAGGGAAGACAAGCTAGTTCAAAAATAGATAAAACACACAACTACACACACACTCCTACTCTCCAAGACCACTTTCCTGGAGCAAAATCCCCTCTGAATTATGAAGACAGCTGTGTCAGGTATCATCAAAATTCTTCTATCACCAAAAAAACTTCTAAGAAGGGCTTCTGTGCCTTCCCACTCCCCATGTTACAAATGGCAGCTGGTGTGATAAAAGATACTGTGTCCTGCTGATAATAACTCCAGAAAGTCTGGGACACTCAGATTTTTTTTCCAAGCTATGCTCCAAGCAAAAAAGATCCAATGAAAACTGACAGTTATTTCAGAAAAAAAACTTTTAGAAATTCTGTCTTCAAGCACTGCTGCCCAAAGTGAAGCCAGATACAGTGAAATTCACCTCAGTACACTGAAGCAATCTCAAACTCCTACCATGCTTGAAACTTCACAGTGGTCAAAGAAGTTCTGGAAGAACCTCAGGCATTCCCTGCCGAACTGGGAGAAAGTAACTCATCCAAGTGGGTCAGTCCTACATCTAACACTGCCCAATACTTAAGTAACTCAGATGGTAACAAAGAAAACTTCTGTTAAATTTGCAACTTAGACAAAACCTGAAAAAAGTCTAACATGACAGAAGACAGGATTAAGATTCAAAATTATTTGGACAAATTGGAAAATCATGTGGAAGTAAGTAAGAAAGATTTCATTAAAGAGAAATGCAAAGTCATATGCTAATGAGAGTAATCAACTGCAGAAATATCAGATCAGAAGGATCAGACACAACAGGGTACATTGCAGTGCTGCAGAAACCCAACAGTAAAACAGACTGCAAACTGTAGACAGTATCAAACTTCAGCAAACTCAAAAGGATGCAAAACATGAAGTAAAACATCTAAGACATATGGAAGGTTATCTGGCTTGTTTGGGTACTACATGACAAGAGAAAATTAGGTCAATTTGATTGCAAAGGAAATGAGTGTTGGAAGACAAAATTGCAGTATCAGAGAGCTAGGAGATAAAATTTACCAGGGTAGTTGGTTTTACTCAGTCCAGAGACTAAATGAAGACACATACATAATCACTAACTATGTAAGAAGTCATTACTCACGCTAACAAAATGTATGTCAAAAAGTTAAGATTATATTTTGTGATGGCAATGGCTCTCAGACTTGTTCAGCCAGAGGACCAGTACAAATCAAACCTCAAATCTTATTAATACCTATTGAAACTGAAAAGGCAATTTAGTATATGTTGTAGCATACCACAGAGCATTTGGTTAGAAAAGTGTGTGCAAGAATTGGTTTTGGCAGATGTTGACCCTGTCTAACATAAGGGAATACCCTATGTAAGTATTTCTCTACTTTTTAAATTTAAAGACCACCTGGCATATTAAAAAGGAATCCATAAATCACTATTTCCTGGTGTTTTTCAGAGGAGAGGGGACAATAAATAAAGTAATAACTGCTGCATATCACTTCTTAAAACATCAGATACAGATTTAAAAAAAAGTAATCTGAAATGATGGAACAGTGAACATGACTCATAACCAAAGCATTGCTGCTTTAACATTTTAAAGATATTTCACTCATTTCTTATGGCTTCAATATGCTAAGGTAACAAACAAGAAAAAAACATGAGAAATAATAGTGTAAGTCAGTCTGCCTATCACAGACCAGTTTCTGGTAAGCTCTAGTCTCAAGAGTTATTTCTTAAAAAAAAAAAAGATGCCCTAGCATTTAGCCTGAAGGACCGAACAGAAAGAGTTTCATTACATCTTCTTTTATAAAAGGCTTCTATTAGCAATCAGCAAAGAATATGAATTTCTCATTTGTCACTGGCTCTATGTCAAACTTGGTTAGTTTTCAAATAAGTACATTTATAGGTTATGTGTATATCCAAGAATCAAACAATATTCTTTTAGCCTACAGATCAGTCCCCAAACCAATGAGCACAATTTACCAGACTTGGTGATTTAAGCTCCCAGCCTAATAAGAAAAAACACTGAATACTTCAGACCCTAGAAAAAGCACATTAAAATAGTCTGCAACTGAAATTTAGGAAAAAATTTCTAGATTATTTCCATTCCATTAATTCAAACCATTCACGTTTATCCTTTACTTGACATAAACTTACAGACCTCTCAGTCTCCTCCAAGTCACAATTCACCAGAAAGACTTTAAGACAAGCAGCTTGGGCAGGAGCTAAGCAGCATCCTGTACTGACTGAATGCCATCTAATGTGCTTGTGGGGAAGAAGGAGAGGTGATCACTGTAAGATGACCTAGACAGAGCTAGGCACAGATTTCTACCAGCTCAGATGGTAACAAATCTAATTATTCATTCTGTTTATCTATATGGACTTAATCAAAGTGAAGGTTCCAAACTGAGTAGGACAGAAACAGACTTTGTACATGGCTGATCTAAGTTCCCACATCTCCTTGACAATATGGCACACAGACATTGGACACAAGTACCAAACAACCCTGGAGACAGGAAGCAGAGATGAACAGTCTCATTCCAGGAGAAAATATGTAAATATATACAGAAAAGAGATGTGAAATTAAAAGAAAACCAACAATCTAAACCTGTATTAAATGTAGCTGAAGCAACTAGAATTCTCAGCTCATACAAGCACTCCAGTAAAATAACTGGTGGCATTTTCTTCCTTGGTTACAGCTTACTGCTTCCTTCTGTGGCTATTACAAACACCTACCTGTAAATTTACTTTTTTCCTTCACCTCTTTGCTCCACTATGATGGACAATCCCTGTAAAGATTCCTACTCCAAACCTACACAGTGCTAATTTTTATTTGGGTAAGCTATTACTGGCCTCTATCACTCAAAAATGTCACATTAGTCCCTATGTTTGCTCAATAGTCTCTCTCTACTCAACCTATGGTGATCCAAGAAATGTGGTGTATCTCCACTGAAGTAAGAAAAGTGGCTTCTGCTTAAATTTCTTTACTATCTAGAATCATCTTAGCAAAACCAGAAAAAGTCTGATGAAAGGTGCCACCAATATAATGCCATGTAAGAACTAAGTAGTAGAAATTAAGAGACTCTACATATTATTGAAATTACTAAAATTCCTGAAAACTGAAATCAGCAACAGTACCCACCAACTCATTCCACAGTTTAAGTTTTACTTCAGTTTTTGCATTTACATTCTCCTGCTAATAGATCAACTCATAGTGCAAAAAGGAACTTTGGAACTTTCTAGCAATAAAACATCTTTCTTACACAACAGAGAAGACAGACTTTTAAATTAAAGGACCCCCAATACTGAATAAAAAGAAATATGGGAAAAGAAGTCAGTTTCCTCCTCATGTAAAATAAACATTCATTTCCAAATCTGGATTGTGCTGCCTGCCCTCATCCACTATTCATACAGGCTTAGGTGAAAAGCTTTTGAAATATAAGTTCATGAGTGTCATGTTGGAATGACCCAATTAACACAGGAAACTATCTGTAATACTTCTTTAGTTATCCCACAGATTCCAACTTCAGCTGTAACTGACTTACCTTTCCTGCAATTTGGAAGTGCTAAGCTTTGTTAATGAAGACTAGCTAAGGGATAGAATCTAACCAACCTCACAGAGCCACAACAAGACTTCATTTTTGTGTCAGTAATAGTGGCACATGAGCCATGAGAGAGTGACAGATGAAATGAAAAATGGAAGTGCTGAAAAAAAAATGAAGAAAAATACAAACTGGCTAAAAGTCGTTCATAGTTTATCCAAAAAAAAAAAAAAAAAAAAAAGACACCAGGAAAGACAAGAGAGATTATTCAAAGTCAAGAATGTGGAACAGACACACCTGGTTGAGGTCTAAATTGATATTCTGCTCTCCTAACAGTTCTTGAGAAAAACATTTATCAACTTTCCAAGTAACTTAGACACAGATTTCAAGTGGCTATGCTAAAAAGAGAAAAATCCCCAAAACCCTAAAAAAAACAACAAACCACTCCTCTCACCCACAGCACAAAGAACAGGGATGATGGTACAGTGCTATTCTATATACAAAACATTAATGCCTTCCTACACAGGATCTTCTGAAAGTGGACATAAATTTGAAGAGAGTGGACTTCATCTTACTGTTTTTTCATCTATTCACAAACTAGCTATTTTTGATTTGAAGGAACAAATGGAATTTAAATGGTACATCAGTTTTACTCCAGCAATACAAGGCATGGATTGGGATAAAGCTTGAACTTTATGAAGAATAATACTTTAATGCTATATAAACTATGTCTATTTTTACTCACTAGGTTTAAACCAAGTCCATAATACTCTTTTTCTAAACTTTACATAAAAATTGAGCTAAAAATAAAGATTTTAAGGAGAACAGTAACTTGTACCCAATTCTCTCCCTCTTCCTGGGCTGATATGGACATCTTGTTTCAGTAGTCCTTAACACACAGAGCTCACTAGCTCAGTATTTAAAAGAAATAAAATTTGACAGGTCTCAAAGAACTGCAGGAACTTCATTTGACAAGAGGTGAGAGAATGTCAATACTGGCAGAGAACCCCATTAAATTATCTGTACCAAGGGGATGTGAATAAGAGATTAAATGAAAGAAGATAGGAAAGAGAAGTCAGTGAAAGAAATCAATAAAGAGTTTACTATACAATTGCCAATGAGAATATTGTAGTACTGGAAACATTTGGAAGACTTCACTGACTGCAGACATTTTCTCTTTTTTTTTCTACTTACCTAGACCTTTTTGTCCAGGATTTTTAGCAAAGTTAAAAGTAAACTGATAAAAATCTTTGAACTTTGCTGGATCCTTTAGCTCTTGTTCCAGCCTTGGCAATAGAGCTTTTAGCTTTTCTGTGGTGTCACACCTGTTCAAAAGAGATTACATTATTTGCAAATATTTAAAATTTCTTCCTACTTTCCCCCCACCTTCTTAGGGTTTAGTTTAAGAGCAAAACAAAGCAGTGGTTAAGATAAAAGATATTATCTTTGTGGATAGCATTCTGAAAAATGTAAACGCTCATGTGCCTTTATTAAAGAATTTTAAGTGGAACATTGTATACAGGCATCCATTAGGTACACAATGCAAACAGGATTCAGTGGTTTAACCTCTTTTCTATCTCTTGATGAATTTCTGAATAGATGCTATTCTGTTCTTAAAGAACACCCAACCCTCACTGAACTCTGTTATTCCTTCCCCTGGGACAGCTGTAACACAAGTGTGTGGTTTTGCTTTAATCTAGATAGACAATGCTTATTCCCTACTCTCCTGAATAAAGAGCTTCACACTACATTTTTTTACAGTTCATCTCAACATTTGAGGACTTTCCAACTAAATAAAGTATTATTTGCAGTTATTCTCTCCCCATCATAGAACAATTGAGAATAAAACTGAGGAACAAAATAAGCCTTGAATGATAGCCTGAAGGCTGGCAAACTATTGAACAGCCTGGCACAGGTAAGCTAAGACAAAATCACATTACTGAAATTCTAAGAGAAACACATCCCTGAATAACACCAAAGCATTTTCAGTGAAAACACCTGAGCTGAGAAGTCACACTTTTAAAAGGAAAAGTGTTTCTGCCACAACAAGGCATCAAATGAATATTCAAGGTTCACAAGGACAATACCAGTATCTTGAATTGTACCTAGAAACTCAAAGTGAAGCAAAAGGGTTTCAAAAGAAGCAGTATCACAACTAACACTGTGTATTTGAAAGTTCCCCATAGTTAAATGTTTGTATTTATTCTAAAGATTCAAGAAAAATTCTGTTAAAGGACGGGTAACTATAACAACATCCATAAAACACAAATGCAGTTTTAACTGTCTTGCATGGTACAGATAAAAATAAGCACCTTTCTGGTCTCCAGCAGTACCTGGCAGAGAAAAGAAAGAATTCTGCCAACAGTCTTCAACTGAGAAGCTCAGTTTGGGAGCTTCTTCTAGGGACTTGATCTAGACAATAAATATACCTACTCATATGTATCCTACAGATGCTATGTGATCTAAGCCTCAGGGAATGTCTTTCCATTTGACTGCTCACTTGTCTTCATTGCTGAAAACCACAGACACTGTGCCTCCAAGTACGTAACAAAATCATTCCAAATTCTCAGTAAGTGCTGTGGCAAGCAGGCACAGCCATATTATGCTCCTAAGAACAGCTGTTGCTCCAAGAACAGGTGGTTTAGCAAAAGCTTTTTAATCACTTCTATGAAAAAAAAATTAAAAATGCTGGCAACCTTTAATAAAATAGCATGAACACTTAATTTCTGTCCACGGTTAGAAAATCATAATTATTCTTGTAATTTCTACCCAAAGCTACCCAGTGGGAAAAAATAAAACAGTGAACTTCAGATAGTTATTTCATCACAATTTCCTAAAAATGAAAGCTTAAAAAGAAATCAGTAACTGATGAGGTCAGTAACATCAGACTGCTACAATCTCTGCTCAAGAAACAACCACCACATTTCCTATAAGTTGGTCTGTCTTAGAAATGCATTGATTAAGGTGCCATTCTAAGATCAAATGAAATTGTTTAGCTACAAAAAAGAGGAACAAGTGAAAAACTGTACTTATCCACCTCTTTAATGAAATCTGTTGAAAATAGTCATTTGACTTCTCTAAATATTAGAAGTGCTGCTCCTCTTGCAAGGAAAAGTTATACACAAAATATTACTTTATGATGATACATGCTTGACTTTATTGGTAAGCAGAGACAATGTTCAAAGTCTATTATCCAGAACAGCTCCATAACCCAGAAAGGAGTTTTTTATCAGTTACATCACAGTTGGACCAATCTTTTCTACTTCCAATAGTCTCATTTTTATTTCAATTCTTCATAGATATTTTGTACAAATGAAGTATCTACTATGAAAGAGAGGAAAGTATAGGTGGTAAAATGGACAAAAAAAAAAGATGGGTCCATTTGTTGGTGGCAAAGGAAATAAATAAAGGCTCTTTTCTCTTTTCCTATTTCTTTTCTGCTTCAACAACGACATTTTTTACCTTTCATACACCTCCAGTGAATTTCAGTTTTTAACAGCAGGAGGTCCAACTCTAGTCCTTAACACAAATATGCATATGCTTACTATGAACTACATAAAAAGATACATGAATCATCTGACTCCCTTGCTGTACAGGTAGAAATTGTTTTGCTTCCCCCCTGCTGTGGTCATTAAGGCTTTGCAGTAAAGCACCAATTCAAGGAAGACAAGACACTACAGGCATTTTGCACCTGTTAAGCTTGGCACTAGCCTCAACAGCTTCTTAAAGCTTCACACAATTTAAGTGAAAATGTTTTGAACAGAAACATAGTTCAGGTCTTACATTATAAACTATGCAGAAATGGACACTTACCCCAACTCTGTCATGCCATCAATAAATTCCTTTTTACTGAATTCACACTGTGTGGCTGCCCTGAATTTCCATGCCACAACCAGAACACTGATACTGGCTGGGTCCAGGCTTAAATCATCACAGAACTGCTGAATCCCATCAATACCAATTTTATTTTCATCTTGTGGGTCTGCAGTTCAAAATACAAATAGGAGAATAATTATTAATAAAACATATTAACAAATAATCATCTGACAGCTCTGATGTGCTGCATAATATAGGTATTCATTTTTTCATAACCTTCACAAATGTTTTCACATGAAGTCTAGATATTTTTAAAAGAGAATCAGTAAATAGATTAAGTATTCTGTAAACTTACAGAGAAATTAGTTTGCAATTTTTCCTTAACTTCCCTGCTGACATCAACTAAATAATTTTGTTTTCCCTCCACAATCCACTTTAAAAGATTTGAGTTAACTCAGAAGATGCTGCCTACATTTAGAAACAGTAAGGGTGATAAACACATCAAAATGTACAACATATTTATATTGGTCAGTGTGCATTAAGCTTAAAAAAAAACCCCAAACCAACCCAAAATCAAGTCCAACAAAACCACACCTACCACATTAGACCCTTGATTTTTTTTTGTTCCTGATAGTGACATATGGGTATCCACTATAGCTCTTTAAAGACCACATTCAAAGATTTTGGGGGTTTAATTAAAGGTCAGGGAAATCACCAAAACATTGTTCAAGCAATGCCTTAGCATAACAGAGTCTTAAGCTAATTAATAGAATTTAGTACAAGTGAAACATAGTATTTCCCCAGTAGTACCTTTCTGAATGTTGGTAGATATCTTATAATAATTCTGTAACAAAATTCTCTCTCGAAAAAGCCTCCAAACAAACAACCCCCTGCACACAAACTTAGATAATTGGAGAAGAAAAAACCAATTGAAAAAAAAAAGAAAATAAACCCAAACCTCTAGTTTGCAAAGCTTGAGACTTTACAAACCACAAAACTGTCTTTCCCAGCTTTTGAGAGGAAGATATTTCAATATTATAAGTTGGGCTATGTAAAAGAAGCATCTCTTGAGTAGATTTAATACTAACTTCTTAAACTGCTACCATTTTCAACCATGCCATTTTTAAGTCCTGATCCAAGAAGTTGATTCAAAAAAAATCAAGCCTAGATAAACCCTTTAAAATTTTATTTTAATTCTTAAGCTAAGATCTCTTTGACTTTTCCAGCCAATACTACAGTGAAAGAAATTGCAAATTCCAGAGAGGAAGTTAATTTGGCAAACAGACTCACATCTATTAAACCTAGAATTACACCCATGGTATAATAATTCAGGGACCTTTGATCCCAAATAACAAGTAAATATAGCTATTCAACTACTTCTAAGACATGTAAAACATATTTCTTGTGTATTTGGGGAGTAATTGAAGAACTGAAGGCAAGATGTGCACTGTCTTGAAATCAGTGGAAAAATTCTGGTGGATTTCAACAAGGACTTTTTATCCCTATCATATGTCACATCATCCAGGCAACTAGTAAAAAAATGCAATGGTTGTTTTGACAGAGTTGCTCAATAAACAGGTAGGAAAAAGCAAAAACAGCACAGAAAACAAAAAGGCTTTTCAGATTTCAAGTACAGTGCACTATTCTATAGGCTTTGTAGAACAAAGGAACCCCTTATTGTTCAGGGGCCAGTGACTCAGGTTTAAGCCTGATATGAATCAAGGTAAGGTCCTTAACTAAAACTTTTATAGTCTTCTGTCAAATCTTGTGAAAGTTTTTAATGTTTACACCTTCAGTTTTTATAAGCCAGAACTGTAAAGGTGTGCTGCTAACTAAAACACTGACATAACCTGGCTAGACTTGCTTTCACCCAAGTCAGATGGTGCAGTTTGCCACTGCTAGAACTTTGTAAATAATAAATAACACTTGGACAATCTTCTTCCATTTTAGATAGTCTTAACAGCATTTATGAATTTGAATATATATTTTTGACCCAGCAATCTCCAAGACTGACATTCAAGGAACAAACAAAAGATTCAGATGTATGCATATGCTATATATATATAAAAACATACATATAGGCATATATAAACCAAAACATGGTTCTCTGAGTTTTGTCTCTGGGTTTTTGTTTTCACAAAGAAATGCTATAGCATTGCTGCCTCTTTGTCCCTACAAAACTCATTACCATACAATAATGAAGTATTAAAGAATCCCTACACTTAAAATAGAACAGATTATGCAAAGAACAAAAATAGTGGAAACAGTAACATAAAAAAAGATGAAGTGTACACAAAACATGCCATATATTTCAATTAGAAAAGTACATAAAATCATAACTGGGTAGTAGTTAAGAGTTCATGTTTTCAAACATGAGATAAATGGATTTCAACAGGAGCTAGCAAAGATTCCAGCCTGCACTGCTCCAACACAAACAATGCACACTCATGTCAGGTGCCACAGTTAGCAAGCACTGTCAACTGGATTGCATACTTTATTTTATTTAACTGCCTATTTTTTTGTTGTTGTTGTTGTTTTTTAACAATGACATAAAATGAAACTTGGAAAAGAAACAACTGCCTTTAATCCACTTTCCTGTGGTTTTCCCTCCAAACCTCTCTGAAAAGGCACATCACTTTTGCTGTAATATGCCAGCATGAAGGACTTAAATAAGGCTGTAGTACCTAGTTTTTGAGTTCTTATTTGACTGTTCTGTCACACTCCTAGCTGTAACATTATCTGAAACATTTTTGCTTTTAATGTATAGAAATATTACTGTCTCTGAACAGAACTAATTCCCCCAAATATTAGCATAAGAACAATATGTATTATTTGCCATGGAAAGACCATCATACACATTTAAGAGTGACTACTGGCAAAATATCATGTAAATTGCACAATAAACTTTGCTACAATGTTGACAGCTGGCACTTTTCCCCCACTGGAAGTTTAATTTCCTACTTTTAAAGTCTACAGATATCTAAGTTGTGTACTAATCATTAAAAGCATTTAAAACGTTTTTTCACTCTTATTACTATAAACACACAGTGAGAAGCAAAAGCTAGCTAGCTTTACTTAAAACTCCTCAAGAATGGTAGTGGGCAAAGCAGAAAAAGTTCTCACACAACATAATTTAGAAAAAAACAAAACAAAATCTACAACAACAAAAACCCCAAGCTGACCAACCAAAAACTCACCAGAAAACAAAACCTTACCTTTGTATCGATTATATAATTGTTCTAATTTCTTCTTGTCTACTGAATTTTTCATGGATTCTTTGTAGTACAAGTCTGGATTCTGGAAGTAGTTGTCTGTTGCCACTTCTAGTTTCCATTCATTCTGTGTTAAGCAGTATATAGCAGTCCTTTCACCAGCCTGGGTAAATGCCATAAACTGGCGGACCTTGTCCTTCTGGGACGATTTAAGTTTATGCTTTGGGATGCAAAAGAAGCAGGAAAGCCAATGAAGCTAATCCAGAAGTTTTTTTCAGCATTCTACTACTAATGCCTATCTTTTAAAGGTTTTAGTTTTCTTGTTGATGACAACTTTCACTTCAGAATTACAGGAAGACAAAGCCTTGTTCTTCTGCAGTTAAATAGACAGCATTTTCTTCTGAAAATTGAAATGACAGCATCTATATATACATTTTTAGCAGCACATATTCTGTCAGTAACAAACTTGTATTTCTGCTTTATTGCTCACATATGCTGACGTTTTTTCTGTTCTGTAACAGCAGTAAACACAAGTTTCGTCATATTACAATATGGTTATCTTCTGAAAGATATGCCTAGTGGTTATAAAAAAGAGAAATTAAAAAGGTGCAAACTTACAGATTCTCAAATTCTGTGTAAGTCCATACATGGAGAAAAAACACCCAAGAGTTTTCATAATATTTTCTTAGCAACAATTAACAATGCAAAGTTTAATCAGTCATCAGCTAAAAAAGGCAGAAGCATTTCTCATATAATTATGTTATAAAACACTGCCAACAGAAGACATAAGGCAAAAATAAAATAGATGAAATGGACATATCGGAGACTGCTGAATGTTACAATGAAACTATAAGATTGCTGTAAATGTGATCTGAAAGCTTTAATTAAACTTTGAAAAATATGTTTATACTTCTAACACATTAAACAACAAAAAAGCCTGTTGCAGTGGTCTACAGGAATTAATATGATGTTTCTCTCAATTAAAGCAACCACATAGAGACAATATCCCCAAACTTCTGGAACACCCAAGAGGTAAGAATGGGCATTTTATAGGGAGAAAATTTGCTAGTAACAAATTTCAACATTATTCTTTACACAAAGTTGGAAGCTGAAGGAGATAGCTTAAGTCAAACTCTGTTTTTTATTATATTCCGTACTTTCCAATTTTGTTAAACCTTACTTAACACATGTTCTGGGCCAACAGTTAAGCTGAGAAGTTTGTACAAATTCCCCACTACAGTTTAAATAGTCAGATATAATGGAAAATTTACATGTCTCTTAAAAGAGAACCAAATTCTGATTCAGTGAGGAGTAAACATGGGACCAGATATCTTTCAGCTTACTTTTTATCTCTTGTCCCCATATGGACGTCTTGAACTATAGATGGCCCTGAGACAAGAAATATATCACGTAAACAAGATAAGGGGTTTGGTCTTTCCTACAGGATTCTTCAATCTATTATAAGAAGAAACATGCTAGGTTTCTTTTTACCCAAGAAATGTGTACAGTGGGAGGAAAAACGTGCAAAACATAACTACTACATGCTTTGATAAGTAAATAATTAATAATCCTTTGGCTGCAAGCTCCAGCCTGCCTCCAAATTTTCACGAAGGTCTAGCTAAGGGAGTCTCTGCACCAAGATCTTCCTCAGTTACATAAACTTCTTCTGGGCAACAAACTTAGCGATAATCACTTCAAAACAGAGGGCTCTGCCAACAACGCCAAAGCAAACCCCGCGCCCTCTTTCAAGCCTAGCTAACGCCAGGCATTTACGGATATTTTCCAGCGAAATGAAGCACTGAATTATTTGAAGCGATAAGAAACACACAGGGCTCTCCAGCCCCCTACCCTGCCACGTAGCACGGTTCGTGCCGCTCACCCGCGGCCGGTGCCTGCGGCGGGAGCGGCCCCGCGCACCTTCCCGGGCCGGGGCGGCTCCGGAGCTCCTGTCCCCAGCGTGACCCCTCGCTGAGGGCACCCGAGCACGGATGCGCACCTCGCAGCCAGGCACAGCCCAGCCGCGCTTCTGGAGCCCTCTCCCAGCGCTATGACACCGTACCGCACACCCCAGGGAAGCGCTGGAGCTGCTGCAGAGGCACCGGGAGAGCCCTCCCCTCCCAAAACAGCCCCGGCCGACCTCGCCACCCGGACCCAGCAAGGGACTTTTACCGCACCTTTCCCACCGCCTCCGGCTGCACCTGCCGCGTCCCGCGGCGGGGAAGGGGCCGGTGGGAGCGAGGCACTCGCAGCTCCGGTGACCTGCCCCGCCAGCCCCAATCCCAAAAAAGGGAAAGGTACGCGCTGCGCCGGCTGCCTGCGCTCGAAATACCCGCGGCGGGGCCCAGCCCCCTCCCTTCCCCCGCCGCCCCCGGTGACCTTCCCCGCTCCCGGCCCGGCAGAGGAGGCGGCGGGAGAGCGACTCCGCACGGGGGTGCGCGTCCCCGTGTCCCCGCGCCGCTCGTGCCCCCCGCCTGGCGCCTTCCCGGGCAGGGCAACGGGACTCGGCGCGGCGGGAGGCGCGGGGTCGCTCGGCTCGCCGGCCCGGGGGGGTGCCTGGGGCTTGTTCGAGGCTCCCCCTCCACGGTTTCGCCGCCTCCCCTCCCCCCCGGGCTCGCACAACCTACCATTTTATCACCGGCGCTCCCACCAACTTCACCGCCCGGCGCCGCCTCCCGCGCAGGCGCGCACCGGCCCGCCCGCGCCGCCTCCCGCCGGGGAGCGCTCCGGGCACGGGCCGCAGAGGCGGAGCGCGGGATCGCGGTGCGGAGCCCGCAGCGCTGCCGGGGGAGCGGCGGCGGCTGCGGCGCTGGGGCAGCTGCGGGGCCGCGGCTCCGACTACAACTCCCGGCGTGCGGCGAGAAGCCACGGTGACGTTTCCCGCCGCGAGGCGGCGCTCGGAGCGCGGGTCCCGCCCAGCTGCCCTCCGAGGCGCCGCCCCGGCGCTCGAGCACCGGCGCGGGGCGAGGGGCGGCCGCAAGGACGGGGCTCCTCGGTGCCCTCCGCCCGCGGCCGCCGCCCACTGATACCCGTGCCCGCCGCCCGGCGATCCCGCCCTCCCCGCCCCGCCGCTGCGGGCCTTCTTCCGTCCCTCAGGTGAGCGTCGCTGCCGAAGCGCCGGGCGGGGCAGCCGGCTCTTTTCCCCCCGTCCCTCTGCCGCCATGAAGGAGAGGGAGCCGGGCTGGTCGCCCCCGCGCTCCGCTTATCTCCTTCTGTTCTCCCCTTGTGCCCCGGCCTGCCGCGGGGAGCGGCCCTGGAGCTGCCGAGGCGCTCAGGTGCGAGCGCATCGGGGCGGAGGTGCCCGGCGGGCACGGCCCCGGCCCCGGCCTGCGGCTCCTGGGGAGGAGCTGGCACTGGGAAAGGGGCGAGTGGAGGCGAACCCACAGACGTTCCCGCAAGAGGGGTCTGGAGGCAGGGTCCGGTATTACCAGCTTGATGAAATCTGGTGCTACAGTGTCGTGTTCAGGAAGGAAAAAGGGGGAAGATGAGCTGCAATCCAGCAGGAAGCAAACGCTGCTTAAATAAGGACTCTCCCTCCGATTTCATACTTACTGGTGGTGAATGGAGAGGAGTGTTAGTTTTTTGCCTTGGTTTGGGTTTTTTGTGCTCAGCATCACATAATTTATTTTGGTACGTGAGATCTTTATTCCCTTACGAGCTTTTGAGCACTGCCCCAGTTGTCGCTCCCCTAAACAGATTTTGCTAGCCAAGTAAAAAGCACAGAAACAAAATTGTCCCCATGTGTGAACCACAGTGCTAAGTTTGCACAGAGCAACAGGGAGTGAACTTTGCTGGTGTAAATCTCTGCTCAAAATTTAGTTATGTGGTTTGATGTACCACATAAGACATGCAGTCTTTTACTTGCCTTGGATATACACTGGGTGTTTTATTCTCCTTCTTTCTTGCAGAAATAGTTTGTAATATATATTTAGCAAAATCTCTGTCCCAAGCCTACTAAACAGGAAGAGCATTAGTTTGTATATATGAAGAAATATTTTCTTAAATTTCACTCCAGAACTTTGCTGGGTGGTGAGGATTGTTATTTTCCTGATTTCTTAAAAGTAGTAAGCCCCACAGCTTTATCGAAGTTCTGAAATGTTTGTACTTTATTATTTTATTGAGATTATAGTGATGTGATATGCTTTTGCTACTTTCATTGCACTTTCAGTTCTTAATCTTAAATGGTTTAGCTCTAGCCCACAGTCAGCGAATAGTAACTAAATACTTTGGCTTGCATTTCATGCATTGAAAAAAGAAATAAAGCAACCCACAGACAGATTTTCTCATTTCTCTCTGAAACAGAGATGGGAGGGCTTTTAACAAATGAAGGTAGTGCATGACTGTGTTTGCCATCTTCCCTTGCCATGGAATCACAGAATGGCCTGGGTTGGAAGGGACCATAAGGACCAATGGCTCCAAGCCCTCTGCTGTGGACAGGGACATCTTCTACTAGAGCAGGTTGCTCAGAGCTCGTTCCATGTCTTGATGATGGCTGGCTTGGATATCTGGGACTGTGACTGCTACTGCCTTGTAGGAAAACAAGATTCTCTCTTAGCAGACTGCTTCCAGATGCCCGTGTCCATGTGCTGGTTCCTGATTAAGGCTGCTGGCCCAATGATCAAGACTAACTAAATTTTTAGGGAAATACCTGCTGTATTGATGATCTGTTAACATGTTGTGTGTGATATGAATTTTTAGAATGCCAAGTACAAAATTTTATATATTATGTGTAGCTTTGTGATGTGAGGGGTCTTTTGAGGGTTTTTATGTTTGTTTGGATTTTTTAAAAGAAAATGTAACTGTTATTTTGTGCATTAATATCAGTAGTTCCTTCTAGGTTCTGAGGGAAAGAAATTAGTTTTTAAATTCTATCCTGCTTGGTGTTAAAATTAAATACAGCAGTTTAAGTATAGATTTTCAAGTAGTTGCTGGGAACTGAGCTTATGAATGGAGTTAGTGTTTTTGTAATTTACTTTAAAATCTTGAAGATCCCTAATAAGTTTTGAAGTAAAGTACCTCAGGGCCCTGCAGCCTTTCAGGTTGAGGAGGTTTTTGATCCAAACTAGTAGCATTCAGAAGTCCAGGAAGTTTTGCTGTTCTTTCTTCCACAATTATGATTTATAATGTAATCTGATTCAGTTAGGTTTTTTATTTTTATGTTTTGTTGAATGTGTGTAGTTGAATTTGTTGATGCTTCTGAGACTTTATAAATAACAAATGATTATGATACAATGTTTTAGGATAGATTTTAGAAGAGACAGGAGATTTACTGGCAGCTAAGAATAATGAGTTCTAGTGCTGTGTTGAAATGCAGCCTGTGACATCATGGCCTGATATTTTTAAAGGCTTTTCTTTCATGTAAGAAGTGCAGATAAGTACCATGTGAAGTGACTAAGCTTTCCAGTCACTGCTTTTAAAACAAGATGTTATCTAGGAAATAGTCAAGGGGAAAACAAAAACCTGTCAGTAACCTTGGACTATTTCTTGGTTTTCATAAATGTTGAGTGAAGAAGACTGTGTGTGTTCTGTCAAAGCTTGTGGTACAGGCAGCATTCTTGGATTTATTTTCTACATTTCTTTGATCTAACAGCCCAACCTTACCATGTTTGATAACTGATTGGTACTATCTTGCAGCCTGCTGTGCATACTGGAGATGCAGAAACCATGTAGCAGAAAGCTTTGAGCAGCTGTGGATGATCAGTTTCTCCCAAGAGGAATAAAAAGCGAAGGATGAAGGCGACTGGATTTATTTCCCTGTGGACGTTGGTTTCGCTGCCTTGCGGCCCATTAGCCAACCCTGCAGAACGTGAGGATGTAGTGAAACATGCAATAAAGCTGCACCGTGGGAAGGGGGCTGGGATCACTCAGAGGAAGCAGTGGGTGCTGGAGAGCTGCAGAAAACTCTCTGGTCTTCTTCGCCAAAAGAACGTTGTTCTCAACAAACTAAAAAATGCCATAAGAGCAGTTGAGAAGGATGCAGGACTGTCTGATGAAGAGAAACTTTTTCAGGTGCACACCTTTGAAATTTTCCAAAAGGAGCTAAATGAAAGTGAAAACTCAGTCTTTCAGGCAATTCATGGCCTTCAGAGAGCTCTACAGGGTGACTACAAAGATGTTGTAAATATGAAAGAAAGCAGTAGACAGAGACTGGAGGCCTTGAGAGAAGCTGCAATTAAGGTTGGTTTCCCCATGTTTGTTACTAGACTGTTCATTTTCAACTTGTGATTTTAACTTTATTATGGCACAATTTCAGTCTGTTTTAATAGAAAAGGGTATCTGCATAAAACTTGCAATGTTTACTGTTTAATGAAGTATTTGTTTTCATTAGTAAATTTACAAGTAATTTTGGTATAGCGCTTAAAACTTATTGGCAATTAATAGTTTTTATCTCAAAGCTAAGTGTAATCATAAGACCTATGGCAAATATAATGTTAAAGGGAGAGAAATAAGAAGAGTGAATCAGTGCACATAGCAGAGTTGCACTAGACAAGCCAGTGGCACTAGCTGAGTGGAAATAATGCCATGGTGAAATACTAAGTTTTTTTCCATTTTAAATGAGAATTGCTCAAAGTCCACAGTTGAAACAAAATTACTTGCTGCCTTTCATTTCCATGTTTGCATAGATATGAGCAAAATGGACGTGCAGAACAGCAGGTGACTAGATTTTTAAACTCAGTATTGCACTCCTAGCCTAAGAAGTGCAGGTTTGAAATGCAGTGCTTCCAAGAAAGAGTCAGCTGAAATAACTTTGCCAAGAAAAAACACAGATGAGTAACAGTTGAACACAGACACTTCATGGAAAGTTTGAGTTCCCGTGTCTCATTAGGTTGAGCACAATCTGCCACTGTTTGTGGATTTGGTAATGCTCAGACTGTGTACTGAAAGTCTCCTATTGAGAGAAAATACAACCTAAATGTATTTGGCATTTCAATTGCTCTTGTCCTTTCTCTACTCCTCAACCACTGGAGGAATATATTAAGAATTTTCTTTTATTTTCTGTCTTCCAAAAGAAGAGGCTGCCCTTGCACAAGGGAGCAAGAGAAGGAATAAAAATGTAATTGGCATTTAGCATTTGAGTTGTGAGAGTCTCTGAAGGGCTTTTGTGCTAAGAAATGTGCAGACCTTGACAGGTGAAGTTGGAAAGAAATTATGTGCAGTAAAGGTCTCCAGTGGATTGTGCCAAGATAGGCTGGTAGAAGTAGAAATTAGGATGTAAACTTGGCAGAGTGGAGTGTTTCTGTGCAGTGGAAATGAAGACAGAATTACAACAAATTTGAATAGGGAATAATTTGGATCTAGATGTATGCCAATGAACTGCTTTATATGACTTGTATAGTGATACTTTATGGTAGTGGCAGCCTCTGCTGCATAGAAATGTCATAGAAATTGTCACGAGCTTTACTTGGTTTTACACCTTTTTTCTTTCTCAGAGCTTGTAAAATAGAAGCAGTGAGGCATTCCAGAACCTTCTTTCCCATTTACCTAATTCCTGGTGATGTTACTCTAAAACAATGAAGCCTATTTATCCTTGAACTTGAGAATGGTGCTTCTTCTAGAAGGAGGCCTTTGTGTACAATTATGTGTTTTAGAGGTGTGTCCTGTCAAAAGTTTACTTTTGCTGAAGTGGATTGTGCAGGCTTTTTTTGTATTTGCTTGAGTGAGCAATCTTTTGCACCTTCCTTCTTATGCCATGCATGTGGTTATTTAAACAGTATTTGTGGTCCTAACCTTATAACTGTTGTATAAAGAGAAGCAAAAGATAAAAATGGCATGGGATACATATGTTTTGGACTTGTTCTTAGTTCATAAGACACAGTAGGTCCAACTTTGTCCCAGTTTCATTTTACTGTAATGATTATTTTGTTGGTATACTCATAGAACATCTATTTTTTAAACAGTGAATGAATGGAAAATACAAATAAATGTAGGGGGTGCTGGACTCTTCCCTTTATTATTTTATTTCTATTGAGTAGAAATGCTTGGAAGTCATTAGTGCTGGGATATGTATGTATGTCTGATGCATTTCTTGCTGGTTCTGCTGCTGTGAAAAGATGTAGTGGGATCATTCACAGTGTGGGGCAGGGAGAAGTAAGAAAGAAACAATGAAGATGGTTTTTGCCTTCTTTTACTCCAGGATCCTGTTTGGAAGTTAAGGAAAAAGCAACAAAATCTTACCTACTTTTTAATTAGCTTCTAATTTCTTGGATTCCTTCTAATCAGACATGGGTGAAAAAGGAAAAATGACTTGCAAGTATTGCAAAGATGCAACTTCTTCTGCGTGTGCTTTTGTCTCTGAATACACAGTAGAGAGCAACAGCAATTCTGCATTCTGAATCAGCATTGCCCCAAAGTCTTAATCTTCATTTTGCTCATATGTTTTCAGGTGTACACAATATTAAGTACACAATCTTTATCTGTATTACTTTGCTTAAGAGGTTGCTCGTTATCCTCATGATCAAGTGTCTCCAATCCCAGCCTGAGCTGCAGAACAGTATTTGTACTGTGATGCAATTCTGCTTAGCATGTAGCAGGTTGTTTGAATTAACTTTTTATGGACACCATTGCCTGTGGTTGTCCCAGTCTACTGCTATCACATTTGTCTTTTGGTGGAAACAGATGCCACTTTAATAGACTACAAAAACCTTAATCTTCATTAATTGAAGGAACTTGCAGCTAAACTCTTATTTTTTCAAAGCTTTTCAGGGCAAGTTAACTTCTGTGAAATTAGACATTATTTTTATGTCTAATTTATTGACATTATTTTAGCTCTGTTCAGCCTGTTTGTCTTGGCCAACGGAAAGGACTGAGATGGGCTCCTTGCACCCAAAACCTCTCCCATTTTGAGGGGAAAGAATCTAACCATTATCAATTTCACCTTGTGTTCTAAGCTCTTGCTGAATTAGCAGAGAATCTGCAGCTCATATGTGGGTTGTTTCTTACATCTTTTGAGCTATGTCTGCTAGCAGAGAGCAACAGAGAGGAAATGTTTTTCCTTGAGGCTGTATGAGAATGACTGTGTCTCCTACTTATGTGTTGCTTAAGAAGTAATTGTTGACATTGGGCCAAACACATTAATAGTTACATTCTTCCCAGCTCCAGCTATTTTGGGCTCTGGGTAACTTTCACCATGAGGGTGTAACTATGATAGTTCTAAACACCAGCAGACACCAGTACTGTGGTTTCATCACAACCAGAGGCATTCATCTGACTGTCAGGATTTCAGAAGGGTTCAGCTGCAGTTACTGGTTGTACTCAACATATTCTTCTCTTGGCATCAAGGAATTGACTGGATTTTGTGCATGTTCTTGTGGGTTCCAAGGGGAAAAATGTCCATCTGCAAATGTGTGGAGGAGGAGACACTCTAGTTATTTAAGCATAGTGTTTAGGACCATTTAATAAGCTCAGGTTATTGAAGATATCTCTGGAGGGTAGGCAGATAAAACACACAACCTATGGGAGATGTATGTTCTCTAATTTCTAACTGGGCATGGCAGGGGCAGGGCATCTGGAGACAGCAACTTGTGTTTTCTGGGAATTGAGTCAGACCTATAGATTGCTTGCATTTTTTTGCCTGTTTTTTTTTTGTTTTTTTTTTTTCCTTTTTAATAATATTGGCTCTTTAAAAGAGCAGAAGAAGGGTCTCTCTCATCCAGGTATTCTCAGCATCCAGAATCTAACTGAAAGGAGCCCTGTCCTTGTGTGTGTTTCCTTATAGCTGTTCTTTCAACAATCTTTAAAAGAATAGAGGCTTGTAAAGGAAAGCATCTTTTTCCCCCAAAACCCTCAAGTTCTCTGTCAATACACAAAGTATTCTGTTTGGTTACTGTCATGGTAACTATGTAAAAGGTGTTAGACCCAGTTGTTAGTAAATGAGGCTTTTTAGTTATCTTTTTGAACCTGAAACATCATAACTTTATCAGGGAAATTACTGAAATATTTTCACACCATATCAAACCATATCAGCATATTTTCTCTTTTTACTTCAGAAACCTAGTAATTTCAGAAGTTGTCACTGCAAGTTGATAAGAGACCCAAACTGAAATAGGGTGAAAAGTCACATGTTTTAATTTTGATTGGAAAAGTGCTTTTTGGGAAACATGAACAGGAAGCTTGGCTAGAGTGATTGGCTGCTCATCTCTACCTCAGCTCTTTTTTTCTTCCTGTTTCCACAGTTACTGTAATTTTTGAATACCATAAACAGACCTCTTCCTATGTTTATAAAAGGGCTTATGAAGTTAAGATTCATTGTGCTTTACATCTAATTTGTTTGTTTGTTATAGATAGTATAGCTATGCTTTCAGGGTATTATGCTTCACTTCAAAAGCATGAAGTTTTAAACTTTATTTGGCTCTGAATTGTTTCCTAGAGTTTCTCAAAGTAAATCCTTTCTTGTATTTTCTGGGTCATAACCTTGGGGCAGGTCTGCTGTTTAATGTAATAGAAAAGGCTATTGGTGGATGTTTGGTTTGGTTGTTTTGTTTTCTTGCCCACTTACCCAATGAAAATTGGCACAAGAAAAAGCAATCTTTAAATATCTTCATGATGTTTATATTGCTTTTGCAATTCCACTGATAAAATGTTTTGTGTCAAAAGAAGCAGACATTTATGTCAAATGCTTTTTCTGCTCAAAGGCCTGCCAACACTTTATCTGTGTTGTAAAATTCAACAGGAAGAAATGGAATATGTTGAACTCCTAGCAGCAGAGAAACACCAGGTTGAAGCCCTTAAGAACATGCAGCACCAAAACAAAAGCCTGTCAATGCTTGATGAAATTCTGGAAGACGTCAGGAAGGCAGCTGATAGATTGGAAGAGGAAATAGAGGAGCATGCCTTTGATGACAACAAATCTGTAAGTGATGCTTTAGACTCAGAAATTTCATTGGAGTGCATTTATTTATAGTTGATGTTTGCCCTGTGTGTTTCTCTTGTCTTATATGGTTGTTAGGATTTTAGTGATTTTAGTGAAACAGGAGTAATTGCTCCTTTTTGCTGGTGATTTCTGTGGTTTTGATTTGAAGGTGCTCCCTGCAGCTGCCACTTTGACAGGTCCAAGTGTGGTACATCTGAGTGATACAGCCCGTGAGAGGTGTGGCATCTCTGTGGTGGTGGGGACTGTGATGGTTGGACTTGCAGGATACGGAGTTACCATGTTCAGCGTTGTCTCCACTTTTTAATTTTCTTCAGAAAGTTATGGCAGAGCAAGAATCCTTGCAGTTGGTTTTCACAGTCTGGGAAAAGATATATTTTTCAAAGGAAAGCCCTGAAATGTGTTTGTGATGTTACATTCTTTCACATCTGACTTCGTTTTGTACCTTGGCCTACCTGCACTGATCCTTGTTTCTGTGTTGCATGATGGGACAGTATCCTTCAGGTAAGGCTGTATGTCTCTAGAGCCGGGAATACATCACTTTATTCTAGTGTCCCATTTTTCCATCCTCAGATAGACTCCCTAACTTGGTCCTGTTTACATAAACATGGGTTACAGTTCATTTGGTTTCTGCTCTTGGGAAGTTTTTGTTGACTTCCAGGCTGACTCCCGAGGTGAGCATAGCTCTTGAGTTCTGCTGAGGAGGCAAAACCAGTTTCTCTGTAGCAGAGAGCCAAGCCGTGTGTGGTTTGTTCGGTTTTTTTGTAGCTGAGCTCGAACCGAGAGGAAGTGGAAGCCGCTTTTTGACTTGGCGTGCCGCGGATCGAGCGGCTGTGCCCGGGGGAGCCGCACCTGGCGGGGCCGGGCCGGGCCGGCGGAGCGCCCTCTGCTGTCCCGCCGGGGGGAACGGCCCCGTCGGAGCGGAGCGGGAGCTCTCCTGCCGCACCGGGAACTCTCCCTGCTCTTCTGCCTGAGGCTCCATCCCTGAAAGGAATCGTGAAATGCTGCCTTGAGGTCTATGCGCTTCTCCATCATTGCAAGGAACGTTTTTATAAACTAAAACAGTGGAATTTTAGAATAGGGAAGCTTTAATATAGTAATCATTATTCTGATAAAGACACAAGCTTCTATTAAAATATAGCCAAATAGTGAAGTGTAGCAGGTAAAAATGAAAAAAAAAAAATCTGCACTACAGCCTGTGTTCAAGAATTGCTGTTCTGAGCAATAAAATCCTGAAAATAACTAGGTAGAAACAGTTCTTATAATATCTCCGTCAAATTTACAGGATAGTGACCTTTTCTTATCTTGGAATGCAGACTTTAGTTCAGATTTTTGAGAACTGAATATCACTTAGTAATCTCCAATTGATTTTGTTCAAGGTAAGAAAATGTTACTTTTAAAAACATCGAGTTTTGATAAAGAGATTGAAAGATTTTTAGAGAAGAAATCTGCAGTATTTTTAGTTGGTGTCAACAAGTTCTCTAGAGACTTCAAGCACAGCTAATAGTCCTTCTGTTATTATGATATGCTTAATTGACTCCCCTTTTTTTTGTTTGTTTGATTTTTTTTTCTTTTTTAAAAAGGTAAGAGGTGTAAACTTTGAAGCTGTTTTAAGGGTGGAAGAAGATGAAGCCAACTCCAAAAGAAATGCTTCAAAAAGAGAAGTAGAAGATGACTTAGGACTTAGTATGCTTATTGATTCTCAGAACAATCAGTATATCCTTACCAAACCCAGAGACTCAACCATTCCTCGTGCTGATCATCATTTCATAAAGGTAATAATTTTAGAGACATTCTTGTCATTCACTTTTGGATTTAGTCCCATAAGTTGGCATGTCAGTCCTACTTGGTTGGAGTGAGTATAGTTTCAGCATTTGTCTGTCTGAAGTTAGCCCAGTATTCATGACTCCCCCACCTATGGTGATCCAGCCATGTCTTCCCTACTCTTAGGTTTGTCTTCACAAGACTGATCATGATGCCACTCTCTGTTTTTATTTCTTCTTCTCTTGTTGCACCTTTGGGGCACTGTCCCTTCTGTCAGACTACAAAGTGTTAAAGCTACTGCTGTGCTTAATAAGCCACTTGCATGTTGTCAGTAAAAAGAATTTATCTGGTTGTGCCTTGTGATGAAAAAAGGGATACTGAAAAATGCATACACATCGTAGAGGTTTGATTGTATTTGTGCTTTATGTAGAGTAACTGGATTGGGATTTTTGTTTTAATTATAAAACCCAAAACAGTTCTGTTTCACCATGTTTTAATGCAAACATTCCACCCAGGAAATTGCCTACTTTCTATAATATATTTAAAATATTTATAAGTTCATTTAAAGTCCCCAGTTACTTAAAGTCAGTACCTCATCTGCTTCACCTGAAAAACTTCTGTGCTTACACCTGCAGCAGCACTGAGGTTAATTTACAGAAGTTTTGTTTTCTTTTCACACAAAGTAGTCTGCATTTAATTTTACAGTGCTATTTGTCTTTTGAAAGCTAATAGTCTTCAATTTCATCCCAAATTTATGTGTCCTTTATACTAATGCCTTTGTAAATCTTAACCTATTTAGGATATTGTGACAATAGGAATGTTGTCTTTGCCGTGTGGCTGGCTGTGCACAACAATAGGATTGCCAACCATGTTTGGATATATCATCTGTGGAGTACTCTTAGGACCCTCAGGACTAAATAGTATCAAGGTACGTGTGCAAGTTAATTCTTGACTGATTAAATTCATTGAAATCTTTAAAAGTAGTTTTAAAAGGATATGGTATTGCCAGCCTCAAATGTAATAAAAAAAATATTCCCAAACCTGAACCTTCAAGAGGAGAGCTTCAAATTTTATGTCTTTGAATAATTTTGTTTTCAATCTTTTTTTTCTCCTATAAAATTATGACAGTTGTTGAAAGTGAAAACTGAAGGTTGTGTGTTGTGGAAGTTTTATGTCAGGTGTTTTTTTTCTTTCTTTTTAATTTTAATCATAACGCATCACAATTGGAAGCCAATGACATAAAATATACAGAAACTTGCAAAAAGTCAGTGTTGACAATGGAGGAAGCATTTAAAACAAATAATTCCCCAAGGAACATAGCTTGGCTTTCTAGAGAGTTATTTTGCACCTCTGTAGTGTTTCCATCCACCCTGGTCCCCCTGTTCTTTTCCTGCCCACATTCCTGAGGTCTTTGGAACCTTTTTAGCTCCATCACGAGTACCCTGATTAGTGGCTCCTGTGGAACTGTGAGATGGGGCTGGCTGGACATGTTTTCATTAAGTGCTCTGGTGTGCATTAACAGATTGTTTAGCCAGCAGGCAAAACACAACACATGCTAGGGCTGCACAGTAATGCCTGCTTAAGTTGCATGTGTCTGTTGCATTGATATCCATGAAACCACTTGGAACTTACTGTCTCTGCAACATCTGCTCCCTACATGGGCTTCTGTTGAGAATGATTGTTGAGCTCAAAAGCAGGGATTAGTAGAAATTGTAGGATTTAGTTGATCTTGTATTGGAAGAGATAAAATAATCTCAACCTCTGTGCTGTACATAATTTCTGGGTTGAAAATGTCTGGAAAGTTTGATCACTTAGACTGAGAAACAAGTCTGTAAGCTTGGCATGAGAAAGAAACCCAACAACAAATTTTCAGGATACTTACATTGAAGAAGATTATGTGGTCATAACAGATATGAAAGAAGTTTCTTAAGGACAGTTTAAGTGACTTGCCTTTTTCTTGTGAAGCTGTGATTATACATTATTCACCTGGATAATAGTCTTGTTGACTGGGTCTCTTGTGTTTGGTTTCTTCTCCATTTCCTAAAAAAGTTGAATGCCTGAGAAGCTGAGAAGGCAGGCAGATTCTAATCTGGCAGAAAAGTTGGTTTCCATCCTCACTTCTGTAATTGATGATAAACCTTGTTTTCTTCTACTCTGGCCAATAAATACACATAAAAGAAATACTAGGATTTTAAAATACAATAGACTATTCCAGTCAACTGCCTGAACACTTCAGGGCTGACCAGAAGTTAAAGCATATTATTAACGGCATTGCCCAAATGCCTCTTAAACACTGACAAGCTTGGGGCATCAATCAGCTCTTTAGGAAGTGTGTTCCAGGGTTTCACCACCCTCTCAGAAAAGAAATGCTTCCTAGTGTCCAGTCTGAACCTCTCCTGGGGCAGCTTAGAACCATTTCTACTCATCCTGTCAGTGCATACCAGTGAAAAGAGCTCAGCACCTCCCTGTCCAGCTCCACTCCTCAGGAAGCTGTAGAGAATGTGAAGTTGCCCCTCACCCTGCTTTTCTCCAAGCTAGACAAACCCAGAGTCCTTAGATGTTCCCCACAGGACATTCCTTCCAGCCTTCCACCAGCTTTGTCCTCTTCTGAATGCATTCAAGGGCCTTCACATCCTCCTTCCATGGTAGGGCCCAGAATTGCACAGAGTGCTCCAGGTGAGGCCACACCAACACTGAATACAGCAGGATAATTTTGAGTGACTGGTGATGCTCTGTTTGATACACCCCAGGATGGGGTTTGCTCTCTGGTGTCTCACACTGACCCTGCTGTTCACCAGCACCCCCAGATCCCTCTCTGCAGGGCTGCTCTTCAGCCACTCCTCTCCTCATCCATACTTGTGCCTGGCATCCCAGAGGGATCAGAATCCAGCATTTTGAATTTATTTGTTAAATAATTTCCTTCCGTTAATCATTGCCTAATGCTCCAGTGTATTTACATCCCTCTGCAAGGCATCTTGTCTCTCAAAAGAGTGAACAGCACTTCCCAGTCTGTTATCAGCAGCAAACTTGTGAGTGGTGTGTTCACCTCCTCCCTTCTGATCATTGATTCTGTATCTATTGAACAGAACTGGCCTGAGAACCCTGAGGGTACACACCAGTTGCCAGCCAGAAATATCCCCATTTTTCTGTTGTGATGAGGAAGACCACCATTTTTCTTGCTGTTGGATCCTTCTCTCTGTAACACAAAGGCTGGTTGGTAATTGTGCTGGTCTGAGATGGATGTGTGGAGCCTGTAGGATGGAGAACCACAGCAGTCACAGTCTAGCAGAAAGATTGTACCAATAGACCAATAAAATAACTAGCAAGAAGTGGCTTGTGGAATGCAAGCCTTGGAGATTTAATAGTACATGCATAAAACATAGCCTATTTTTTTCAATCAGCAAAAAAGCTTACTGCTAAGGAAACTTTCCAGTCTGACCATTCACAAGGCTCTCTGCCTTCTTCATTCATGCCCTTGGTTATCCCAAAGATAACCTACTGGACTGTAGTTCACTGACACTTGTTGCAGGCTCCTACTCAGAGTTCAGTCTCCATCTCAGTCTGCAGCTTGCCAGCCAAGCCACCTGGATCAGATGTATTCCTCAGCACTTCCCAAGATCAATGCACATGTGCACATTGGGTGGCCAGCACTCTCCCACCAAGTTACTGCCTAGTAATGGGAAAAATAATTGCACTCCAAAGGTGCTCTGGGAATTTCTGATGTCATATGAACAGCTACTGAACTACCTGTGAAAATGTAATGAGAATCAATTTGTTTTGTAGTGTATTTCTAATTTTGTATTATAAGTTGACTGCTGTGCACTGATTTCTTTTCTTTTTTCTTTCCTAAGTCTATTGTACAGGTGGAGACATTAGGAGAGTTTGGTGTATTCTTCACTCTCTTTCTAGTTGGTCTGGAATTTTCTCCTGAAAGATTAAGAAAGGTATTTTTTTATACTATCCCTGCTGGGGATTTTTATAATATCCCTGGGATTTAATTGCTAATTACTGAAACTGCAGATTTCAGTTATATTTTAGATTTTTATACAGTCCCTACAATACACTGCCGTAGCTTTGTACGTTTTTGAAAAGACAAACGTGACATTTGCTTCTGCACTTTGGAAAGAACAGAATGCATTATTTATTCAGTGTCTCAAAAAAAATTATATTTACTCCCTATTTTAGTAAAACAGTTTGATTACTAGAAAAATCTCTCACAGTTTGACAGTCCATCTCTGCTTTATTTTAACATGCAGTAATGTGCAGTTGCTGTTACGGAGTGTCAGTGATGTTTGCCATTCCTGTTATAAGAAAAATCTGAAAGTTTAAGTACTCCATACTGAATTGATAATACATAGTCTGCTGGCTAATAAACTGATTAAGCAAGTATGTTGACACAATCTGGAATATTAAATTATGTGGCCACCAGAATTCAGCAAAAACTACTAGTTTCTTTTGGTCTTAATTTAAAAAGTTATAAACCAGCTAGAATTTTAATAGTGGAAAGCATGGCTACAAATATGTGAAGACTGTATATATGTAAAGAATTGCACTGTGTGATCTATTCCTAAACTGATGGTTGTGAGTTTGATACTAGAAAAGCTTTAATTTAAATATGTTACAATTTATGACCATGTAGCTTAATCTGCTGTTTCTAGTCCATCTAAAGTCCAAGATAACAATCAGTAATTCAAGGGTTCCTAAACCGTAATAGGTAAATTGTTGCTACAGATTTGCTTCTGCATTAGTTTGGAGTGGGTTACTGGTATTGGTACTGGTATTGGTGTATTGTATGTATTTCAGCCTATACTGGACCATTTGGCCCTTAGTTTCTCCTTCAGCTTTGGGAAATTCACCTGGTTTCTGGCAGGGAGTCTTTTGGGGTGCAATATCTACTCAGTGTAGTAAGTTGGGTGTTTTAGGTGATAGAGTGTGACGATCCATTACTCTGTGCTGTACTACAGCCCCAAATCAAGCATCTTTAACTGCTTATTTGCAATAAAAAACATTGTAACTTAGCAGTGAGAAAAGTGTCATAAGATCTTGTTTTCTTCCCAAGGTATGGAAAATATCTTTGCAAGGACCCTGCTACATGACAGTACTGATGATTGCCTTTGGTTTACTATGGGGGCATTTGCTCCAAATTAGACCAACACAGAGCGTCTTCATTTCCACTTGTTTGTCTTTGTCAAGCACACCGCTGGTGTCCAGATTTCTTGCAGGTAGTGTTCGAGGAGATAAAGAAGGTAAATATGACTTTAAATATGGATGACTGTAGTATCTAATAAAATTTGAAAGAAGTTGACTTTGTAATATTACAAGATAAGCTAGTTAAAAAAACAAAAACAAAACCCACTCTTAAACCTGGTTTACAAACAATCATCCTTATTTAACACTGGCCAGTGTTGTGTGTATTCTTGCTAGGAAGTGTACTTGATTTGTACATAGCCAGTCCTCTTTGGGCAAAGACAGCATAGTACAGCCATTGTAGTGCTCTCCATTGAGAACTGACTTTACTGAGTGTCTGAAGTCCTTGAACTTTTTAAGAGGTTACCAAATTAGCCCACTGCTACCTGTCATCAAGGCAGAAAGGTTAATTTAAAAAAATTCACATCCTTCTTCAGGAAACAGAAACCAGTTCTGATTGTCTTTCATAGCGAACAGCTCTTCAAATAAGGACCTTCAAGGGTCATATTTCTAGCTTCTCAAATACTTCTAAATGTTTCCTTTTGAAAGTTTTGACATCGTGCTTTCTTCCACTTAAATCTCCCTCATGCAAATTGTGTTAAAGTACTCCTCACCCTCTAGAATATTCATTCTAATGCCAGAATTCAAGGTGTATATTTTACACATGCTGGCTCGAATGTGTCTTCAGAATAACTCCTGTAAACTCTCAGTAGAGGAATTTCACTCAATGTGTAACTAGAGCTTAACTGCTAAGCAAAGTCTGTTTTTATTGTGTAACAGAAATTTCATATTAATATTTTGTTTGCATTTTAATATGTCTTTATAGATACATTTTAATTTACCTACTAATGGGGAAAAAAGTTTGTAAACTGCTTTGAATGACCTTCAGCCCATTAAGAGCTATATTGGGCTTCCATTTGATTAAGCCTTTTCAAAATTTGAGTGTTTGCAAGCATTCATAGTTTCTGATGACTGTTTCCATGACCATTTTACTGGTGTACAGGGGATATTGACTACAGCAGCGTACTGCTTGGCATGTTGGTGATGCAGGATGTGCAGCTTGGTTTATTTATAGCTGTCATGCCTACACTTATTCAAGCAGGAGTGAGCACATATTCCAGGTAAAAAAAATCATTGTATGGATCTTCCCTCTACCCCTTGCAATTAGTATGTAGATTGCCAATAGGAGTGTGAAAGCACTGCAGTTAATGTCAGTTCCATGGAAAATAGGCACTCTGTTCAGTGAGATTTCCTTTACTGTTCCTGCTTGTCATGAAGTAGAAACCTGTAGTAGTCATATGAAAGTAGTTGTATGAAAATAATCTCTTTGCTATAGCTGCTTTAATCCTGTGTGGTAATTAAAATTTTGAGTGAAAAGTTTGTTACTGTAAAAAAACAAGTTAATTTCTTCGCTTACTTTATTCCTGCAGGGCATGCTTTTGTCAAGACTTAGTGATAGTATTATTGTGCCTAATGGCTTACCTTGGAGATTAGTAAATGAAAATCTTTCTGAGTCAACATGGAAGTAAATTCTAGACTGTAAAAGAGGTTTCTGGACCCTCTGCAGATTTAGTCTTATTCTTGTTTACTAATGTATCTAAATACCTTCCTTATTTGAGCATTTATGGAATTAGGTATTTTCATTTACGGGGAACTGGTTGGGAAGTATGAAAGCACTTGAAAGAAACTTTTTGTTTGTTCTTCTCTTCCAGCATTTTCAAGGAAATTCTGAGAATACTGATCCTGGTTGGCCAAATTCTGTTTTCTCTGGCTGCTGTTTTTCTTCTGTGTCTTGTTATAAAGACTTATCTCATAGGACCGTATTACCGCAAGTTGCACACAGAAAGCAAAGGGAATAAAGAAATCCTCATTCTAGGGATAACTGCATTCACCTTCCTTATGTTAACGGTAATCTTTTGAATTGATAAAACATTTTTATACATGGGATAGTTTACTCCATCAGTGCCACAAAAGCCATCACACTTAGTGTTATTGCATATACATGTGCCTCTGTAATTGTCTGGTTTTAAATTGTTTTAAAACAACCCCCAAATGTGCAGATGATTCCTGCATTATAGCACAGATGAGTAAGAAGAGATCCAATTTGAATGTGAATCAGCTGAAATTCTGCTGTTTAGATCGTGATAAATCAGATCATGATTCCTAAACTGGCTTTTAATACAGCCAGTTTAGGAATCATGATCTGAGTTTTAACTGTAGGCTACTTCATGCATTTGAAAATCATTCAGGATGGGTTTTGAGATACTGATAATGACATTTGTGACATATGCTCACAAATTTCTTCTCAATAGCAAATTCTCAACGTCGTTGTTACTGTAAAATCTTCTTTTTGTGTGAGAAGCACATTTTGGGATGAAATTAAGAAAGTAGAGAATTCCTTAAGGTTTATGGATTTTGATTAACCCTGTTGGGTGTAGTTAATTTTCGCCTGAATTCTCCTTTTTTGTTTCAATCTCATGTTTCAGCCTTCTGAAAAGCTATACTGCTGGAGAGCAGAATGTGACAGTTGCTTGATAATGTAATGGGTTTGACACTCCATTATCCTGAATGTGCAGATTGTTACATCCCCTGAGAATAATTAAGCCAAAAAGTTCCTGTGCCTGTTTTCTAGGGGTGTTAACTTAGTTACTACAGTCCAACAGGAAAACCTGACCTTAGGAAGAAGATTAAAAAGAAATTAGTGAGACCATTGCTTTAGTTAGTGACTTCTGCAGTATAAGTTAAAAATTCCATTGCTCTAAACAGCTATTCATATTTCAAATGTGTCCTCTAGTAAGAGAAGAAGCAAAACTAGTTTCACCTTTTTACTTTTTAACAAGAAAACATTACACTTGTAGAACAACTTTAATAAAAAATGGCAAAGAAGCCACTGAAGTTGTGTAAAATATTATGGTATCTAGCAGCAATTTTACTTTAATTAAAACCATGGCCTTCATAGAATTGGGCTTCTTATATCCAAATTGCATTTCAAATACACAAGGAGTTTGTATATGTGACTTTACACAGTACATGTGCATACTGTGGGGGGGATATGTTTGAGTTTGTTGGATTTATATTGTAAATCCAGAAGGCTTCTTCAGCATTTTCAAAATTCTTTCCTTTGAAAGTTGATAAATAATACATCAAAGGTAATGCTACAAAGGATACTGCAGGTAACTTCAGTGAACCAGTTGAGATGCTTGATATTCACTGACATTTATAAATTCATTATAGTAATGGTACAAGTTATAGTTTGAACACATAAGCTTAAAAAAATTAGAAAGTGAAAAAATGTTTGCTTGTTGAGTTGAATAGGTGAACAAACAAATCTTCTGTAAAACCAATCTTAATTTGTATAGGTGCTGTACTTTGTCAGGAATACAAACATAGGATGAGTGATTGCAATCTAAGCTAAAAGTGTTGCATATCTTTGGAAAGGTTAAATTAAAGTTTTCAGGTGCCAGGTAGGAAAACAATTGAACTCTCATGGATTCTGCAAAGATCTTTCTCCTTGGAAGGCCAAGCCTAAATATTGAAGGTGCTTGTGTAATTAATCTGCAAATACAGAATTTTCTGTACTGGTGTAATTCTAAAAAAGTTTTTGAATATGTAGAGGAGCAATAAGAGAGTGCCTATTTTAGCATCCTTAACCAAAGACAACTCTGTGGCTCCATTTAGAAAATTTGAGATACGTTTTTAAATAAAATAATTTAACTTACTGTTTAGCACTCTGTGTTACTTTGCAGGACACATTCTTTCCAATACACAAAAAAGAGACTAGGAATGATAAGGTGTTCCTGCCCCATGCATATAGTTACTTATTACATGCTTCAGTCTTGGCTGGGTTTCTGGGGTCCAGCTAAGCTTATTCAGTATTTGGATTAATGTGTAACACCAGCACATGTAATGCTCATTATATATAAAGTTCATTTACTTTGCTTGTTCCTGTGTTTGAAAAATCTCAGATGATTAATTAAACAAGAATTGCCATTTCCCTGCTGATAAGGGCAAATTGTGTATGGGAGGAAAGAGGGGAGGTGAGACAGAAGAGGTTCCTATACTGCAGTGTGAGTAAGCAATTTTCATATAAGGATTATCATGTCAGTTGAGGAGCTTTGAGTATGGTTGTGACTTTTGAGCATTTCTGAGCTTGTGTCACTTAGATAACATTGCAACTTGTTACACCTGCAGATATTTTAATAAGCCTTGGAGCTTAATAGACCCCTTCTGTTCCCAGTATTCTCAGAAGTAATTGAACTTCCCCTCCCCTTTATCCTTCAACTAGTTAGGCAGATCAGGGCTGGGAGGTGGGGATTGTGTCAAGTGCCAATACTGTAATAGCGTAGATGACGCTGAGACAAAGTTGTGCATCTTTGAATCATGTACCTTGTCTTCAGTAACAAAGGTGCAGTAGATCATTATTGTTCTTTCAGCAACTTCTTTTCAAGCTTTGAGTTATGCAGATAGCAGTTAGATTGATTGATTGTTTGTTTGTTTTAATTGGTGAACTGTTCTCCTGAATCGCAACATAAGGAACAAATCTAACTTAAACATGACCATTGGGGATCAATGGCCAAACTTGGTCAAGGTATTTACCAGGATGAGCTGAAGAATGTCAGCCTAAGCATTCAGTAGTGGAGTGTTGCTTTTTCATGTTCTATATGTACAGAAATATTACAAGGAAAATTGTTTTAAACACTGTCCTGATAATGAAGTGCTGTATTGGAAACCTGTGGAACAGTAGTCAGTTTTATTGTTTTTTAAAACTGAAATTGTGGAATGTTATAAGGAAAATGGAAAAATATAAAACCTGACCTGACAAGAAGGACAGCAGTTACATTTACATGTTTATAGGATTTTGCATACATGTGGGGGAAAAATGACTTCTAGTTTCACTGCCTGATGGTTGACCTGAGATGCTGGCAGCAAGTGGAGGCAAATTGCCAGTTTGCTTTATGTACCAAAAAGAAAATACAGTGATGTTATTGCAGTACTTTACATATGAAAATGTACGGGGTTTTTCTGCAGTGTCTAGTGGATATCATTACTAGTACTGGAATATTGTTCTTTGCTTGCCTGAAGTACTTCTCAATGGCTTATGAACTGCTTATGAACTCTTTTCTACCAATTAAAAGAAGATTAAGAAGAACTGTAATCTCAAATATTTTAGTTAATTATTTCATAAAACACAGTTGAGGTAGAGTTTTTACAAGGTTCACTTAAAATTGTTTCAATTTCCATTACAGCTTCACTTTCTTGAAATGCAATCTTAAAATTCATCTCTTTACTCTTGAGCAGATCTAAGTTACTAAAGCTTGAAATTCTTTATTTCCACCAAAATTTTATTTAATTTTACTGCCTTACCATATTCATTAAGCTTCTGTGATGATTAAAGAGTAGCTATAAGAAAGACATCATTGGAGAATATAAGCAAAACAACTGCTGAACAGATGATTGAGATTCACCCAGAACATGTTACAGCAGTAATGTTTATTTCTTTATTTATTGATGTGGTGGAAGATTTGAACATAAAAATCCATTATTCTAGTGAAAGCAAACCAATCCTTTCTGAATTGGAATAAAATGGGACCCTTGAATACAACTCAAAGCTTGGTTGTGCTGAGAAAAACATGTGAATTGACAGAGTTGTTCATGTAATTTTGACTGAAAAAGCTTTCTGTGACATAGGAGTTGAGAAGAGGACAGTGCCAAGCCCAGGGATTAGTAATGGCTCAAGCCCTGTTGGTAAAGGTTGAACATTAGAAGGGATGCAAGCAGAGAGGGAATACTAAATGCTCAATACTCTCCAGGTTTTGCTTATGTAAAAAACTCTGCTGTGAACGCCTTCCTGGCAGTAAAACAAGTCCTCTCCAGTATGTGTGTGCACATGTGCCCATACATTATATATAATAAACCCTGATGCTACAGTTTAGCTGAGGAAATGTGTCCACTTGTAGGTAATACTGTGGGACAGTGGTGACCAAGATGGGAATTGTAAAAGGAATTTCTGTACAAAGCTACATATAAAAGGTTGGACTTGATAATCTCAAAGGTCTTTTCCAACCTAGGTGATTCTGAAAATCTGAAGAACAAATTGGAGGAGGGGAGAGAGTGTTAAGAAGATGATGTAATTTTTGGTTCTTTTCTTGCGCTCTGATAGACTTTACACTTTTCTGTATGTAGAGTGACCTATGGATTTTGTAGAGCTGAAGTTGGGTAGTACCCAGAGACTAAACAAGAAACAGTAAAACTTGCCTATTTTTTTACCAGGCCCTTGAGCTTATACTTGGCTTGCCACAAACTGAAGGAATGTAATTCAGTTTTTATGCTGTGGGAACAAATTCCCAGTTAGACATGCAGTTTGCTCCAGTTATGTCTGATGCTTTCTGAACAAACATGTTTCTTTCACACTCAAATTGCTCCTTGCTTGAAGAGTGATTCTCACAACAGTGCAGTATCTTGCAATTCTGGTATAAGATATCCTGCATGTCTTCCTTTATGGTAACCTAATCCTCTCCAAAGGAATGTTTAAAATACTTTAAAATACTAGCTATAAAAGTTTTGATGTAGAGCTCTGTTGCAATTGATAGCACTTAAGTATGGGAAGATTATAGCTGAGTAGTAAAAATAATTCCAACTTTATTTGAATAGTCTGTATTGGATCTTAATCATCCAAAAGAGGCTGTGACTTTTAAAACAACTAATGTATGATTGAGAAGAACTTAAATGTTTCCTATTCATAACTGGTTCCTTAATTTTATTCATCTCTTGGTGACTTTAAAGTCCTTCATGTATATATTGCCTTCTTCCCTCTTAGAATTTCAAATTGTTCTAAAAAGCACTAAAAATCCTTTTGTTTTAAAATGAGAATCACATTACCTTGTTTGCTTTGCATGATCAGCAACTAATTATATTAGTTGACAGAACCAATTTATCAGCTCAAATATCTTGGAATAAATTACAGAGTGTAATCACAAATGCACTTATGTGATGAGCATTCAGACATTATTACTTCAGTACACAAAGGTCTTGGGGTTATTTTTAGGTGCCATCTTATGCAGAGAGTGGAGACTCATTTATTGTGTCTTTTGCACTCCTCCATTGGAGGAGTGGACACCATTCAAGATACAATGAATGGTGTCCATAAATGTACTATAGTGCATTCTTCCTCAATCTAAATTACAATAAAAATAAGTCTTTGGTTTTAAATGTTCTATTAATATTAGTAACATTGTCCTTTCTCAGCAAGATTACCATCTGCAGCTGTGTGATTTTGAAGTAATTATTTTAAAATATACTTAATACCATATCATACATTAGAGGTGCAGTTTGCTTTTTTTTGTGTTCCAAGCATTGCCTTAAGCAGTTGTTTTGTGTTTTGTTTAGTCTCTTTACATGTTTCATCTCTTCTTCTAGTACTGCATTAAAATATTAAAGAAGAATGGAGCAGTCTGAGTTCTTTCAAGTAGTCATTTTGCTTCATTTCAGCAGTTTACTTTTTACACTTACATGAATCCTTATTCAGTAAAGCACACAGGCACATTTGAATCAAATTTACAATAATAAAACGTAATTTATGCCAGGGACTTCTGCTAGATTGAGACTCTTCTCCCAAATATAAGCTTGGATTTTCGTTTTTTCCCTTGTTTGACAGCTGGAAAATACCTTGTTCTTACTGCTTTATTTCACAGCCTCAATGTATTATGTAATCCTGACTCCAAAGCTGTCACAGGCTCTCTCTGACTTGTGAAATCAAATGCTGTCCATAAGGGTCACACAAAGCATTGCAATGTAGATAAAGAAATTTATTTTTGTTTTTGTGGGAAAGAAGGTAACATAAAGGGAGAAACTAGATTTGTGAGTCTTCAGTATAAATACAATACTGCAGAACATTGAAATACATACACTGAATTCTGTTTGTTGTTGAACTTGCATAAAGACATAGTAATTTCCTGCATTTGGTATAATGTAAAGTTTTATAGTTTCACTGTGAAATGGTATATAAAGTCACTCAGCAGTAGATTCTCTGTTATTCCTTAACAGATCACAGAGCTGTTGGATGTTTCAATGGAGCTGGGATGCTTCTTAGCTGGAGCTCTGATCTCTTCTCAGGGTCACATGGTTACTGAGGAGATTATGTGCTGTATTGAACCAATACGTGACTTTCTTGCCATCATTTTCTTTGCATCTATAGGTAACTTCCAAGAAATCTTACTTTAAAATATTTGATACTTATATGTAATACTAAATAATGTTAAATCTATACTATATAAAATATATACAATATATATAATATATAAAAACATTGCTTAAAATGTGGGTGAGGAGAAAAAATGGTGTCTGTAATGTGAGGGGAGGAGATATATTTTATTTTGTTACAATACTGTTAATTGACCACAACATTGGTTTGCCTTTGCTACTACTTCTAAATGTAACATTCAGTTTCAGAAGCCATTTCAATGTTGTACTTCTAAGTCTTGGTTTAGTGTCAGTTCTTCAATGTTAATTCTGAAATCACCCTATTTAAAACATGCAACTAAATATATTAAGATAAGAAGGCCTTGGTTTGGTTGTTGATTCGTTGAGTTTTTTTTAAATGTTCTTTTGTCTTTCCAGCAGCTGTATTTTATACTAAAATTGTAGTACTATTTGAGTCAATTGATAGAGTAGATTTCAGGGTTTTGTGACTTGGTTTTCTGTAGAAGCAGAATATCATAATATCATAATTTTGTATAGCTTGTTTCTTTAGAAATTTAGTTGGGAGCGTGTGATCTAATTGTTCTCAATGCAGGGAAAAAATAATTGAAAGAAGCTGTATCTCAGACACTACTTGAATGCCAGCTGAAATGCAGCATTGAGGTATAGACGAGAGAGTAACTCATTATGCTCGATATCCAAAAGGAGTTAACTCAGAATACTTACAGTAAATCAGTAACCTCCTTTGGAACTGCTGCATTCTCCAGCTGTCTGTGCATGCCCCAATACCCTTTGTCAGAAGGAAACTGGAACATGTTACTGAGGTGCTCAGCTACAGTGGGTGAGGAGACAGGCCCTGGGAAGGCCCTGGCCTCTCCCTGTGGATTGTACAGGAGGTGCATGTCCCTATGCTGGGGACATTGCAGTGTCTAAGAGGGGGTTTGGATGTGGCCTGGTGCACTAGTCCAAACTCCTTCAACCCATGTTTTACCCAGAAAGTCCTAGGGTTTGAGCTTGGATTTTTCAAGACCACCATTAGTTTTTCTTCTGCTGTTATTTTAAGTTTTTAATTGTTCTTTTTATCTCCACGTATTTATTCAGATAACAGTAAAGTCCCATCGTCAGCATAATTTTAATGTTTTTTCTTATATACCTGTTTGATACTCATTGTTTCATAACAGGAGCTAAAACTGGTGGCTGTCAAAACAAAAATGAAATAGCTATGCTTGCCAGTCTTAATTTTATTTTCATTTTTTTAATCCAGCCCATGATAATAGTTTCTGGTGATAAGTCAGATTACTTAGTAATAAATATGTTTATTTGAACAACTTATTTTTTAATAATGGAAGGAAAGTGATGATCTCTGATGAAATGTGGGCCCATATAACTGACAAGTTTGCATGAGTAATTGCTAAATGCTTACAGATGTAAGTTGTTTATGTGTTTCAGTAAAGATGGTGATGGAATGGATAGTGTTATCAGGAATACAAAGCATGACAAGTGATTATAAGCCCAAAGTTAATTTTATAAGGGACTGAACAAAAATACTGTTCTACACTCTTGTGGCTTCATAAATTAAGACTAGAGATAAGACTTTACTAGAGTAAAAGAAAATAGCAAGTTGGTACATTAGCAGCACTCCATACAGCCTATATTGTACTCTAAGGAAATTATTTTAGTCATTCTGCTACAGAATTTTAAAAAAAATCTTTTTAACAAATTCTGCCATTATAATTGCAAGAAGGAGAGGAAAGAAAATTGCATAACAAATTGGTGTGATTTTATAGAAAATGAGTACCATACCTGCCTCAGAAGAAAATTAGCTAAAAAAATCAGAAGAGCTGTATCATAGGCATCTGACAAAATGTGGTAATGCTTAGTAGTTTAAAAAAACCAACCAAACAACATCAAAAACCCCTCCAAAACTGACAAAAAAGAAGACCCCAAACCCTAAAAACGTGCCACCCTCAAACAAAATCCCCTTCCTCCCCAAATAAAAATTAGCTGCTGCTCCACCCTTTACTTTCAGTTACTTTTAAATTTTGTGCTTAACAGGAAATTCTGTGGCAAGGAGGTAGGTTTTAAAAGGAATGATGTGATGTTTTAAAGAAAACCTGCGTAGAACAAAAAGTATTCCTTAATTTTTCTTCTTACTAGATTTCTTTTTAAAGACTTCCTGCTTGCTCTCTACTTACATATGTACACATGCATATATATATATAATATAGAGATTTACTCTGTGAAATTATGTAAAAGCCAAGGGAAAGATTCTTCCCCTCTGCCTAAAGAGAAGTTGTTTGTTACTATATGCAGCAAGCACCTTATAGAGAGCAGAAACACTTGAGCTCAGGAGGAACACCAGTGCAGTAGTATCATTTCTGGTCCCTTTAGAATAAAAGCACAAATGGAAAAAATTATCTTAATTGAAAAGTGACTGTAAGTATGTCATTTGGAAACGTTCATTCCTGTTTTGCTTGTCTTAAATGCCTGCTTTTCTGTTCTTACTACAGAAATCCTTCTGGTGCCTTAAAGCTGAGCTGAGTATTACTTGTTCATGTAATATCCATAGCAGTGGACCTGCCCTTAGCTTGACCTGTGCAATGGTGCCGCTTTAAATTTGCGCTTGGGTGCATTTGTGGGAATAATGCACCTTTGCAGTTAGGCATTAACAGCTGCACTTTGAGTTGCTCTCTATCTGTACATTCATTTAGGCCTCTGGGTGCTCTTTAAGGTTCCTGGCACTCTTTATGCCACCTCCTGAGGTTGAAGAGTTTCTGTTAGTCTCTGTCCTTACTGATAGTTTTGAGAGAACATCGTGACCAATCCCTTAGAGCCACATTTTGGGCACTTTCCTTCTCATTTCTGGTTTTGTACCTAAGATCTTTATGCGTACATCATTTGATTTTGTTTTGATTACTTTTTGGAAAGATGGAAGGCATCTTTCATAGACTGTTTGACTGAGTATAGAATTTAAAACTGTGCATCAAGACCCTCTCTGCCACTGGTGAGGTAACAGATTACTTCCACTGACTGACAAGTTGTGTGTCTCAATGTGCTGTACAGATGTAGCCACCTGCCAGGTTCCACGTTTCCCTTCTGAGCAACTCCTGTGGTCCGTGTTGGACTTGGAATGCAAGATGCTGAAAACCCTTTAACAGCTCAGTCTTTTTCTTCACAAGATGGGTGATGCTGACACTGCCTGCACCACACCACCACTGTCCAGAGCAAACATGCACACAAGGATTGTCTAATGAGCCTCTTTACTCTTCTGTTGAATCTGAGAAAATCAAAGGAGGATCCCAACTGGAATTTGCTGGATGGCATGCATCTATCCATCTCCTTATCCATCCAGCTCTAGTGCTTTGTTTTTCTGTATGGAGCACAATGAAACTTGGAGGTTTCATGCTCTCAGAATTGACAGTAGAGTCAAAAGGACTTTTTCCTTTGGAGAAAGATTAAGAAGATTGGTTTTCTCCTCTGCTGCTTAATGATCTAGCCAGGGCTGTAGTATTAATTGCATTTGCAGGCTATGATCTTAGGTCTCTTAGTAGACACAGCATCTCAATGCATAGCTAATTTGGTTTTTCTGTCCTGTCTTGAGGATGCGTCAGAATTAATTCTACTGGCTCCAGTTTGACCCTCAGAGTTCTGATTTTTGTACTCTTGTTTGCCATCAAGGATCTTCAAGATTGCTTTTTCGGTGTTGGATCTAACCAGGATGTGGTCAAGGCGTCTGGATCTTTACATGCTGTTTAGAAGCTATCCATCAGATTGGTATAATCTGCCTAATGGAGGAAAGAGGGAGTTTACTTGTTAAGAAAAAAGTACTTTTTAAAAGATTGTGCAGTCTTGCCTGTAATTGTCCACAGAATATGTACCAACTGCTGTGCATTTTGGCTTGACAGCGATGCACCCCAAGGCCTCTGTTCCAGCTCTTTGTGAACACTGCTTGGAGCTGAAGCTCTGGTAGCTTGTGGCCAATTCTGTAAAAGTGTACCTAAGTGTTACCCTAGCTGTTGACTACTGGCCAATCTGACATGTGCTGATGACAGTGCTGAAGTTTTTGAGTTATTTGAAGTGTTTCTTCCATGTTAGAGAATGATTTCAGAATTACTGCTGAGCTTAGTTGAAGTCTGATCAAAACCATTGCAATAATTTGCCATCTTCATGCACCTTCTGCCTATGAAATTAATCTTTCTGATGGTGTTTGTATTGTCAGGAAGGCGCCATGTGCTTGTTTAGAAGTCTGATAGCACTTCTGGCCTTATCCTGGGTTTTCATCTAGGAATGGGGCAAAGGTCTGTACTGACCATAAAAATATCTTATGGTGAGATTTATTTCCTTCAGAAAAATGTCTGGTTTCTGGCATGTTGATATATCTGCTCAGAATAGCATATGTGACAGGTTTAGGCTTGTTTTCACTTTGGAGACACTGTTCTCCAAGGAATTGGTATAGAAATCTGCTGGAGTTTGTGCTTCAGCTCTTTGGAATATGGCAGTAATCTCCACATTGGGCAGCTGTTCAAATGGACTTCAGACTGCCTGTGTGCTCCAGAACTGAACACATACTAGTGATGAGAGCACTAGGCTTTATTTATAGCCTCTCTTGGAAACCTTCAGTTCTAGATCTGGCAGAATTGTCCCTCTTATCAAACATGCCATTGCTATGGGCTGTATTTCTCTGATTGCTTTTCATGTATTTTCTGAGGTTGGCCTAAAGGTGAAGGAGCACTGTGCACGTGATATTGCAGTGTAGCTATTTCCACATGCATCTGTGCATATATGTGGATTTCTTTTTTTTGGTGTGGTTTTCATCTCTTATTCTGCTGTCTCTCCTCTTACTTTGATAGTCTTTTGCATTTGCACTTCAGTAGTTGGAAGGAAATTAAGAAATAAAACAGGGTGTGTGCATGCTGACTGGGTGGCACTTGTGTAAAGATCTCTGATGTAATTGAAGAAAGTTTCTATTGGCAATTGAATGTGCATGCAGACAAAACCCTGTGAAGTTACTGTAAGAGATGACAATTCTTGGTTCTCTACAGATGATCTTGATCTGCAGCACTACAGAGAGGGAAAATTAGTGGAACCTTGTCCTGCATTAAAATAAGAAGTTATTTACAGCATTGATTTACATGCCTTATGCTTTAGAAAGTCAAATTTTTGTTCTTCATCAGAAATAACTGGGTTGGAGAAATGCCAACTATTAAGAATTCGTCAGGAACATCACCATTATTTTGATTTAACTTTTTAGAAGGTTTTTATGAAAAAGGAATGAGCATCCAAAGATACGCAGTTCTGTTTGCCTGCAGAAGTTCTGCTTACTTCAGGAGATAAAATTGACTTAGTTGTAAGATTATTCCTCGGTGACTCTAGGACTTCTCCAACAAATAGCTCTTTTTCTTATGTTTAATATTTGCAGGATTTAGTTTTATGTTTCTGAGTTCTATGTGGATCTTGTTACCTTTCTTTATATAATTGCCAAGTTAAAATGACCAAATATTGCAAAAAACCCAAAGACAATCCACTCCAACAAAAGAAACCCCATCAACATCATAGCAATGGGTTTTTCTATAATTCCTTAATTGTTAGACCATGTTTAAGGGTTTATGGCCTTACCTGATTCCAGTCTAAGTGACTTTTCAAGTTCAGGTGACTTTCAGAGTTTGGAAGTGAAGGTCGTAGGATGAAAACACTTTGGATTTCTGTTGTAGCTATAATCTATGCACATACTGAGTATCATGCTCCTCCCACTGTGATAGTCCATTACCATACCATTAAAAAAAGTTAAATGACCAGCAAAATGTTAGAATGACTGTGCATAGCAATGGAATTATTTTCTTGCAGGATTTTTATAGCTTTCATTAGATATGTTTTTCAGTTCAGTTTTGTATTGTTGACTGGTGTGGAAGACAGAAAGGTTTAGAAATTAAAGTGCTTGTGCATCAGTCATATGCAACTTAATTCAGTTGGAAATACTGCCTGTGCTAAACCTCCCCAAAGAAAAGGGCTGGATATCATGGGAAATGCTTTTGTGATCAAGTAGATATTTAGGGCTTTAGTGATCAAGTGGTTGGTAGGTGAGTTAAGGCTTTTTGTTTGATTTGTTTTGAGAATACAGTCTTGCAATTTAATATATTATTAACCCAGAAAATTACCATAGTAAGATATTGGCCTCAAACTGTGCAATGCTATTTTCTTTCCTTCTAGGACTTCATGTTTTCCCCACTTTTGTAATATATGAACTCACAGTCCTGCTATTCCTTACATTGTCTGTCGTCATTATGAAGGTATTTTCTTTTACTCTTTTAAAAAATATTTTAATCTTTATTAATCTAAGTAATCTTTGTGCTGCATGCCCTAAAGACCATTTATGCAAGAACTGAACATTTGATATAACAGAATATTTGGAAGAATCTTATTGATTAGAATACAGTTTGATACAATATTCTCCAGGTATTTAAAAAAAAATTATTAAATGTTAAATGTAAATTGCACATGGCAAAGCATCTATTTCTCCAGCCTGGGATTTGTGACAGTAATAACTGGTTTAATAACAGTAATAAGAGTGTTTTGTTATAGTAAAGAAGATGATACTTTTTATTGTGCAATGTACATTTGTCTCTTTTGACATTAATACAGAAGACACACTTGGAAGTCCATTATTTTATGTTATGTTCAAAAGTATTCTATTTGATATTATGTATCTTACAGAGATCATACTATTTTAATTATTGCACTTCTTTATTTAAACAAACCAACAAAACAAACCCTCAATAACTCAAAAAAACCTGTTTTTAAAGTTTGTCTTGGCAGTGCTTGTCCTTTCTTTGATTCTTCCAAAGACCAGCCAATATATCAAGTGGATTGTCTCAGCAGGACTGGCACAAGTCAGTGAATTCTCTTTTGTTCTGGGAAGTAGAGCACGCAGAGCAGGGATCATATCTCGGGAGGTAAGCTGTTCTGTGGTTATTAACTTCATTTTTTGCACCTGAATAACTTACACTGTAATACAAAATCCCAGTATTTAAAACAGCAACACACTCCAATTTTGTGGCACCTCTGTTAAAAAAAGTTAAACTGTTAAAAAAAGTAGAATAAACCCAAATGGATACTTGTATGTCCCTGACAGGGTTCTTAGTGCTGGTTCTCACTTATTTCATACTGTACCTTAGTATTATTTAAAATAGTATTATTATTATTATTATTTAATATAGTATTTATATTAGTTAAAAATGCTTTACCTTAACTTCTTTCACTTACAACTTAACTATGTCAACAGTTGCAGATAGCACCCAAGTCATAAAGACTGAGAAGGCTTTGCTTTTAAAATCTTGATACAGCTATTGGAAGAGGTATAGGAGTGTACAATACAGAGAGAATATAGGATTTGAAGAAGGAAATACCAGTAAATAAGAACTGGAGAGCAGATATTGTGAAAATTGCCTTAATATTTAGACAAGCAAATACACTTGTAATCACTTTAACTTGTGAAGCTTGTTCATTTTAAATCCTCCAACAACCAATGTTTTTGGTAGTCATGATAATGTCCCCTGGGAAAGAAGCCTTAAACTTAGTTTTATACTGAACCTGTGAGAATGTTACTTTTTTTTTGAAGATAAAATCTGATTTATGAAATTAGGTAAATTATGGCTATAGAGATACAGGAACTGACCTTACTTTCTAGTACTAGCTGCTTTATCCTCTGTGCTTCTGCTCACAAAAAATGCTCTCCTGGTGCTCCAAGTTTTTTATTTTCATTGATCAAGTGGACTGCATAGTGTTGGAACCAATTCCAAATAAAGCACATGTGAAAAACTTACACAATGCTGTTCACTTGTAGGTAAAGATGATTCACTTTCATGTTCACTCCTTCATATAATTATGAGTTACAAATATTGCATGTTTGCGTAGAGTTTCAAGATATCTGTATGTGATCACAGAACCAGTTTAGGGGCCCACCCACTGAGCTTGGAAGCTTTTAGGCTTTCATTTTTTTTCTGCCCTCACATGATTATCTAATGTATAGGTTTGTAAACCTCTGAAATTCCCTAAACTCATTCTTTTGCTTGAGATCTCAAAGCTACTTCCTGCCACTGTTTTCTAAGACTTATTTAAACTACATAGTTAGGATCTTTTTTTTTTTTCAGAAGATGTACAGTAGGACTTAAAGGGATTTATGTTTGCTTTTTTCTGTTGATAGGTGAACTAGCAGTGAACTTTGCCATTATATTGTTAAACCAGAATAGTTTAGAGTGGTGGTGGTGGGGTTTTTTATTTGCTTGATTGATTGGGGGTCTTTTTGGTTTGGTTTGTTTAAGGATTTTCATTTTGGTTTTTAAATAAAGTGATAATTGGCCTTTGACTTTTTAACAAATACTGAATTTTCAAAATTGATCACATAAAAACAATTGTTTTTTTATAGGCTCATAATGGTATTTTTGCAATTGTATCTTCACACCAGGTAAACAGGTAATTAGATTATTTGAGCGTGTATTGTTTGCTTTAGTAGCAATATGCAAAGTTGCTTAGGAAGACAGAAGTCTCTTGAAAACATGGTCTAGAAGAGCCTAATCTCCTCAAACTTCTAGATACTTATTTGTGCTGCCATGTAACCAAGAGAAGTAATGGCTTCTATTTGCCTTTTGCAGGTCTATCTTCTTATTCTGAGTGTGACTACTCTAAGCCTTTTACTTGCCCCTGCCCTGTGGAGAGCTGCAATTATGAAATGTGTTCCGAGACCTGAAAGACGCTCAAGTACTTGATCAAGATTTGCACAAATTGAAGGATATGTTCTCTTGCAAGGAAAACATCTTCATTGCTCATTGTACTTCTATGCACTCAGAAAACAAGACCTGTTGAGTAGTCAGTCCTCTTAATAAGCACTTGGTTATAAGCCTTATACTGACCTTAAAACAAAATTCAATACTAAAAAATAATTGCATAATATGAATTGCACACCTTTTACAAAATTTAGTTTGACTGATTGGAATCTACTAGAACATTTGTTTCTGATCCAATCTGTTATTCAGAGCATAAATTATTTTTTTTAATATAGTCTCATGCAAACTATGTTTATTATTTTTTTTGCCTGAATGTGCCTTTTAATTTTCATCCTGTTAATGCTGGTTCATCACCAGATTTTGTTCAAAAAGAAAAAAAAATATATATATATTATGGTGCCTATGGTATCTTCTTTCACTAAATGACTTAAGTCATTTTCACATTTATGATTTTAATATAGCAGTATAAAATTAACTACAAACCAAATTTCTAATGGTGAATAAAAGTGTGATCCTCTGCACAAAGAAAAGGTTTAACTGTTTAGCAATCAGTTCCAAGCAGTTAATTACATATTCCAGTTCATGCAGCCAGTACTGCATGATATTTTATTTCAAATTGCAGCATATAATGTATTTCTTATAGTGGTATATTTTGTGTTAGCTCTTGTATTTATTTACATATTTGACTAAAAATTGACAGTAAGAAAGGGCATAATTTATGTTTGCAGACTGACAGTTGTTACCCATTCTTGTTGCTAACTGCTGCTACAGTAATGGTTTACAGGGGTGTTTTCTTTTAAATAAAAAATAAATGTAGTAAAACTGGGAAGTGTAATTTCAATTAGATGTGAAAAATAGTACTTCTGTAACCTTGGAGGTTGGATCTTAGTTGACACTATTCTAGATTTGAAATTATTTTAAGTTAACTTGCAGAAAATCATTTTAAATTGACTTGCAGAAAACTGGAAACAGCAGACTGGATGTGTATTTGCAACCCCATGACCTTTTAAGTTACATTTACATTGAATAAATTGTTAGTCTTTTTAAAATACCATGGTATTTTAGCAAACAGTGTTTTGAATGTGATCTTAAATGTGTTTTTTCTTTAAAATGTTGTATGTAGTGAGATGGGTCCTGTAAAAGCCCATTATTTAAGTGTCATAGAGAAAGCTTACTCATAGGCTATAGTCTACTCTGTGACAAAGCATTTAAGAATCATTCTGAGGTTCATCTGCTAAAACCAATACTATTTTAGATACAGTAACACTTCAGGTCAGTATTGCAGTGTCTTCTGAAATAACATTGATACCCACAAAATGGTTAGAAAAATGCATGTTACGAGGTTTAAATTGTCAATTAAAATGAAAATTGTCCTCCAAGTAGCAACACAAAACTTTGGATGGATCTTTGTGCTCTGTACCTCTTTCCCCTGTAGCAGCCTCAGTTTCTTCTGTGTTTCCTCTGACATCTGCTGGGCTTGCCCAGATGAAACTTGGATTACTCTGGAGTGTGTATGTACTGGTGGGACAGGGTAGAGATCATCATATTTGAGTTCTTGCTCACTGGATTTGGGGCTTTCCCTCTAGGCACTAATGCTTCATAAACATTGAAGGAATGTATGGCAAATCCACCTCCCCTTAAATGGTTTCAAAAGTTGTCACGAAACAGACAAATGCAGAACAAAAAGCTGCCCAATAAATAAAATATTTTTAATAAAATGGATCTATAACAGAAAAGAAACTAAAAACTGATTTTTTTTCTATATTTCAATATGTTTATTCAAAATAGAGGAGCCGTTCACGTTTTATGGTTCCATTTAACAGTCTACTAGCTCAGACCTTTTACTCTTTTCCAGGCAGGTACCTCACTGAAATAATTTGTTTCTTAACTGTCCTATCCACTCTGTCCACTCACCTAGCTCTTTGTTTCTGTGTGAAATACAAGCATCTCTCCTAAATGCTTAATTTTGGCTTTGAAAGATGCTTATTTCACACATAGTTTGCCACCTGTTTCAGGGAGAAAAACGCATGACAGGTCATGGTAGAGACCTCTGTATGGTTTCCATTATGTCACTTAGTTAGCCCTTGAAGCCATTATATGACATATTGCAACTGTGATGAGTCAAACTTTTATCTAAATAAATTGCTGTGGGTAGTTGTAGTTCTCTAGAAAACTCTTTAAATGTCAGGAAAGAGACTAGGAAATACTGATGGCTTGTGTCTCTTAAAAGAAAGAAAATCTTTTCCTTAATATCTTTTAAAAGATTTGGGTGAAAAGCTCATTTGGTACCATGTTCAAAAAAGGAAAGCAAGCGTCTAGATACCTTACTGGTTGCCTCATCTCTCTCAGTCCTCTCCTAAATAAACTTTGTCATGGTTTAGGAATGGTATTCCCCAATTTAGTGCTCTCACCACCACCACCACACTGTCAGTTGTTTCCCCTCTTTCCCCAGTTGGAAGCACAAAAGGCAAAGATTGTGGGTTGAGATAAGCACCATTTACTGGAAACAGCAATGAGATAAGAAAACAAACAGTAACAGCAACAATATTGATAACAAAATTGTACAAGGAGGACCCCCAGACAACAACAGTTCCCCACCAGTTTTGTCCTGAAACTAAGAGAGGGAGCCCTTTTTCCCTGCCTCTGGCAATGAGGTGGGATAGTATAGAATAACAAGGTACACATGCCCACACCACTCCAGGTTCCACCTTCTCATGCCTACTGTGAAAAAGCTCTGTCCTGGCCAAAACCAGGACAACTTGGCTAGGCTTTAGGAGAACTGGGTGAAGATAAATAGGTTTGTGTGAGTACCAGTGTTCTGTGCCTCTCTGTTGACACAGATTTGGATTGCCTGGTTCAATATTAGATGTAATTGCAAATTAGTAATCTTAACAGACATATGGTAAGTTTGTTTGCAATCAGACATTTGAGATTGCCTCATAGAAATCTGGAGGTATGTTGAGATACTGTAAATATTTTGTGAAATGCAAATAATGGCTCCATGCATAATTCCATGTCCAAATGGGGTAGTCTCATGATATGATCTTAGGACAGAAACAACAGACCTTATTCCTGAATGATCACTCATTCCTGTATGAAAAATGGGGAGAATATTGCATAACCAGCCCACTTAGATATAATTGCAGCTTTTCAGAAACCTTATGCTTGTACTGTGGAATATTCTCTTTCTGTGTCAGGCAGATAAAATTAAAGCAGAGTTCCAGAAGCCCTGAAAGGAAAATCTACTGATTTGTCTTTTCTGGAAATTCTTGTTCCTGCTTGTTGGACAGTGGTTCTATCTCATTCATTAACTAATGATCAGTTAAATATCATTTTAATACAGAAAAGCTGATACAGAGCAGAAGCCTCATTAAGTGATGAGAGGATATTCCTATGGTCAAGCTGAACTTAAGGGAGTGAAAAAGGAGGTCTGTTCTATGCTTAACTGGCAACTCATTCAGCTAACCTATTTTGGGGTTGAAATTTGGGTTGGGTTTTTTTTTGGGGGGGGGGTGGAGTTGGTTTATTTCTTTTGTAGGTGGATTTAGCTGTGCTTATTTCGCATGGCTTTCTGAAAATTTGAGTTCTTGTGTGTTACCCCTAATTGCTATCCTTGATAATTCTGTGAAGATAAAGGAACCAAAGCAGTTTAAAAGTTGGTAGTGTGGGCTGTGCTTTGTGAGCCATTTCCCTGGCCCTGGGGTCAGATTGGCATGTATGGACTCACAACCACCCTACTTGTGGCTTATCCCATACAGAGCAGGTGGCTTCAGTTTGTCAGTAGGAAGGTATTTGTGGGAGCTGGGAGGTGGTTCCCTGAAATTGTGACTGATGTAGGTCTAGGATGGCTCAAGAATGTGGTGATGATGGACTGAGTCCATGGCACTACATAGCTGTAAGAATTTATACTTCCTATCATTCTCAAATGTGAGGAAAAGCATCCTCACAAAGCCCTGTACTTCACTTGTTTTATGATTGGACATGCTCAGCTTTGCAGGCAGGAAGATGTGGGGGTGCCTCGTATGACAGAATATTGCTGTACAATGATGCTTGATGGAGAGGGTGAGAAATCTAGTGTGGTCTTGCCTGTTGGAACGAACCCAGGAACAATCTAACCACAAAAGCACTCCTGGGGTTTGTCTAGGGAAGGAATCCATAGTTCTGCTCAGTAACCAGTCCTGGCAGTGTTCCAGCATGTGGGCAATGCCAAAGGTGGAGGAAACGGGATCCCTGAATGACAAGAGGCAAGCCACACTAACAGCGTTGCTATTTTGTGGGAAATGCAATAGCTTGTAAGAAGCAGCAAAGTATCAGACATCCTGTGTTGATGACCTGACAACGAGGGAGCCAACACAGCTGCTGCAGGGAGAAGGAAGCACAGTGAGATGTCTTCAGAGCTCCGAGGTGTGTAGCCCACTCAACCCCGAAGGGCAGGAGGGAAAGGCATGCCTCTGCCAACTTCACTCAGCAGCCCAGGAGATTTGCTGCTTGGGTTCTCCCACCGCCTCTGCCCAGTGATTACCACTGCCGGGTTGGACTTACTGACACTTTGAAGACAGTGGGACTAGGAAAATCTGCTGGCTGGAGAAAACAACCTGAACAACGTTGTGACAAGAGCGACTTGGGGATAACTGATCCTGCCTTGTGGGAAAAACCTAGATCAGAGAGTAGTAAAATTTTCAGTTATGGTACCAAGCTGAATTTTTTATTTCCTAAAATAGAGTGGAAATTTGAGAGTTGGGAGATAGTACCTCCCGACGAGGCCAGATGCTGACAAGGTGGTCAGGTGACATTAGGTCTTTAATTAAGTCATGAGTTTGCACAGATCACAGCGTTCAGATTGCATGGCTCCCTGTTCCCGGGCATTTCCTCTGGCATCTGTGGAAGCTTTCTGCCTATAGACTCGATGACCTCTTGAGACAATTTCCTCGTGTCTGTCATGCACTGATGCTGTTTAAAGTTATGATCTGTTCTGCTTTTCGTGAACCCTTAAAAGGGAGAGGTACTCCCCAGAAAACTGTAAAGTGGAATAGCCTGCCACCACTACTATCACAAACGAAATCCTAAAGCTCCAAAATACCTGCAAAAGGTGTGCTCAGAGACTAGAGAAGTTTTGAAAATTTTTTCACTGGTACAAACACTTCAAATCAGTTGTGAACAACCCTCGGCTGAAGGAAAAAAAAACCCACTACCCAAGAGTTGGGCGTGTTTGGGCAGTTAGTATGTATCAAAATAAATTCTAGCAAACTAGGACACTCCTTGTTTGTGCTTGTTCTGTTGACTCGCAAGTGTTTTTCCTACAGGAATTAATGTAAAACAAAAGAGCGGGAGGTGGGTGGGTAGGGACGTGAGATACACAGACGGTTTGAACCCTTAGGCACAGTATATATGACCTGGAGGGTGGAGAGCGGCACTATCAACTGGATATGTCTTTCAGGAAGCAATTTTTTTCTGCAGCTGGTTTATGGGTTTTGTGTGCGAAAGTTTTTGCTGCTTTCTGAAAAGTTATAATGTTAGAAACACAATTTAATTATCACCTTCTTTCTTCGATGGCAAATGCCGTCAAGCTTAATTAAGAGGAATGAAGAAATGGGGCTATAACCCTAGAGCACCACGAGGGGGGGGGAAGAGGGGTGGCGAGAGGGGGGGCATTGTTAATAAAAAACTCCAAAGATTGCTATTTATCAGGAAAATGAACGTAGTGTTTCATTACTACTGTAAAGCACAAAAATTCAACGTCTTTAAAAAAAAAAAAACCAAAACAAACAACAGAGGTGTAAAATGAATGCGAATCTCGTGGGCTCGTGAAAAGCATCTCCTCCAGCACTCTCTCTGCTGGATTCGTCTGCTGCTGCAATGTAGCAGCTCTGTGGTGGTGTGTTCTATTCCCAACTAGTCTTCGTTCCCAGGAAGCAGCATGAATTTAGCGAAAGAACGAGCCTTTTACTTCCTGCTCCCCTCTTCGTTGCGTTATGAGCAACCTTGTACCGTTCAGAACTGTGTGTAGCTTCCTCCCTATCGAGCAGCCTTGCATCCACCCCTATGAGCCACACGACTCCGGAGCTTTCCTTGCTGTCCCGCAATTTCCACTATAGCGGCTCTGCCTTTGCAGCCTCCCAGCAACGCTGCAGGTTTTGAGGTTGTTGTTTTTTTCCCCAAAACTTACAGGACAACGATGTAATTACATCCCATAACCCTCGCTAACATGCTCTGTTCCTGCGGTCGTCATTGCTCGCAGAGGCTGCAGCGCCCCGAGGTGCTTTTTAGTTTTGGGCGCAAGGTTAAGAGCTGCAACCGCCCGAAGGAAAACTTTCGCTTGGATTACCACAAAATCCCTAATTTTAGCAACGATCGCTGCAAGCGAAACTTTGCTCGAGTAACGGCCGGACAGAAGCGATGAGGAAGCGCTGGCAGCAGGATGTTGTGGCAACGAAACCGCACGGCCCTGCCCCGCCGGGTCCCGCTCCGCGCCGGCAGCGCGGCCGCGCCCGCGGGCACCGCGCGGCACCGCGGGGCGGGCGGGGAGTCGGAAGAAGGCGCGAAAATCCCGCGCATGCTCCATGCCCGGCTCCCTCCGCGCCTTGGAGCGGCGGGCGGGCGGGTTGGCTTGGCCGCTCCGCGTGTGCCCGTGCGAGGCGCGCCGCGCCCGTGACGTCAGCGCGCAGCGTCAGGGGGACGCACAAAAGTGTAAGTTTCAATTTTTTTTTTTAAATTTTATTTTAAAAAAAGAAAAAAAGAAGAGACGGGGGAAGAGTGGCGGGGTCGCGCGCGCAGGGTCCGTGGGAGGGTGGGGGGGGGATCGCTGCGCTCGCTCGTCCCCCCTCGTTTACCCGCATCGCCCCCATTCCCGCCGGCAGCCCCTCGGCGGCAGCGGCGCTGGGCAGGTGTGCGGGGCCGCGGCGTGCGGGGCCACGGCGTGCGGGGGCGGCCGGCCGGGAGCCCCGCGGGCTGGCGGCCGGCGGGGACAGAGGCGCGCTGGGAAGTGACAGCCCGCCGGGGGAGACCCTCTTGCCCCGCCGCCTCTTCTGCCTGCACCCCCTCCCCCGGAGCGCGGCGGGGGAAGGCGGTCCCTGCCGGTGCCCTCTCCTCCCTCCCGGCTTCCCTCCCCTGTTCCCGGGCTGCCGATGTCGGTGTCCCGCCGCCTCCCCCCGCCCCTGCCCCCTCCCGCCAGGCCCGCGCAGCCGCCGCACATGTGCAGTCGGGCGCCTCCGCAGCGGCAGCAGCAGAAGCGGCGGCAGCAGCGCGGCGGCGGCGGGCGGGGGGTGCTCCCGCTCCGCGCTCCGGGTCCCTGTCTCGGGGCGGCGGCGGGGGATGGAGCCGGCTCTCTCTGCCTTCGGCCGCTCAGGTGCGGGCAGCCCGCGCCCGAGGATGGGAGCACCGGGGCTTGCGTGGGACGGCGGCGGGGGGCGCCGCCGGCGGCGGGTCGGGCACGATGGGGATGGGGACGGCGCGGACCCGCACTCCGCCCGCCGCCCCTTCCCCCCGCGGCCGCCGGCGGTGCCGCCGGGCGCGTCCCCCCTTGCCCGCGCCCCCGCCGCCGCCGAGGCGATTAGCGCGGCCCCTCGCTGCCGGGGGGAGGCGGCGCGGGGCTCAGGGCTCTGCCCGGGCGGTGAGGCCCCGGTCGGGGGGCGCGGGCGGGCGCGGGGTGCCCGGGGAGCAGGGGCGGCCGCCGGTCTGTGCCGCCCGGTGCGGCCGCGGCCCGTCCGCCGGCGAGGAGGAGGAGGAGAAAAGCGGGGCTGGAAGGCCCCGGGGGGAGCTGCCCCTGGGGCCTACTTGTGCCTGCTGCTGGAAATGGGGGTGGGGAGGAGGAGGAGGCCGTGATCGCTGCCCGCGCTCGGTGCTGGAAGGGGCGCAGCTGGACAGGGACCGGCCTCGCGTGGGATCGGGCACGGGCGGGGGAAGGGCTCTCTCTGCCCGGGCACGGCTCTCCCCCGCCGTCGGGAAAGGAGTGCCCCCCACACGTGAGCGTGGGGCTCCAGGGACGAAAAGGTGATGATGGGAAACTTTTCCCTGTTAAAAAACGTGGGCTTTTTTCAAAAAGAAACCTAAATTGTACTTGGTAGTATTCAATAATTTCAATTGTAAAAACTTTCCCTCCTTTCATTTTTTATAGCTGGTGCTGTCTTTGCTTTCTGCTTTCCAGAAAATAGCATTGTCCCTGTGTCCTGCAGCCATCAAGATTTTAAGACGACTGGTTTTTAGTCTTTGGTAACATGGCAAAAGATGTAAGTATATTTGTAGCACATACAATGTGGAAGCATAGAATGTTTTTATTAACAAAAGCAAATGGGGTCATGCTTTATAATAGCTGGCATTAATGAATATGTGGAGCTTTATCTACGCTGTGCATCAAGCCTAGGCTGTTTTCCTGTAGACAGCGTAAACCAGCTTCAGATCTGCTGCCATTTTTTCAGAGTGATTAATCTTGAGAATTCCCTATGCTAATAACAGTACTTGGGCCGTTGTCATTATGTGCATTCATATTGAACACTGAAAGAGCTTGGGTTTGGATTGGATTGGAAAAAACCCAGCACGTGTTGTTCAGATGGCAGGGCTGTCTTGACTGCCATTGTGAACTAACATGTCCTTTCTTGAGTTCAGGAAGGCATCAGACATTTGAGGGAAGATGGTTCATTCTCCATATGCGTTCATTTTTTGTCTCTATCTACCAAAAGATGCTTGTTAGTGTCTGTAAAAACCAGCTTTGGGAACTTTCACCATAGATTTCCATTACTGCTGTCGTTAAGGTTTGCAGCTTCAGTTCTGTGACCTGCCTCATGGAGCATGTTTGTTCTTCACCTCTTCCAGTACTCATTAAAAAAAATTCAGTTTATTCTGCCTTTAAGATGTCAGTCATTGTTCATACCTAATATAATTGGGCTTTGATGTTGTCTTATTGAAAATAAGACAATATACTGGTCTGTATTCAAATTAGACCATATCTCCCCCTTCAAAAAAACCCAAACCCCCTAAAAAACAACAGCATGCAAGCTAAAGAAAAGTGATACAACTCACTGGTTAGACAGCAGGTTGCAGCCTAATGTGGAATATTGCAGCCTTCAAATAGCAGGGATTTCCATGAAAGTGTGATTGGTTTAAAAAATAATCTTGTAGGGAATTTTAGTAGTTCAGCTGAAAAACATCTTAATGTGTGGAGAAGCAACCAGACATACGTAGTCACTCAAAGCTTGCCTGGAAGAGATAAGGGTGGCCAAGTACATTAGAGATAGCAGAGTTCAAGGAATGATAGGCCATATAAGCGGGAAGAAAACGAAAGTGGAGTTAGACTGGTGTTAGACTAGGAGATGAAATTGAAACAGTTCAAAGTAATGGAGGTACCAAAGTGCATTTATTTAATGCTAGCTTTTGGGAGAGAGATCAACTAAGTGAAGAGTAGCTAGCACCTGGAAATACAGATGAATGTCCTGCTAAATCTAAGTGAGAATGAGACATTTAAGAACAAACCTTATTTTTGAAAAATCTAGTTTATTCTAGGAAAGAGAGTTGTTAAGGAAGGAAAGGAAGGAATAACCAACCTCATAGTAAACTTAAGAAATGGGAGAAGGTGCTACAGATCCAAAAAGAAATTGCTTTCAATATATTTATTAAAAAAGTAATAAACTGAATTTGGAAAAATGAAAATCTAGGTCAGGTTTTAGGTAAAATTTTAAGTGTGCTCAAGCACTGGAGCGGGGTAGCTAGAAAGGGTATGAAATCTTAACTGAATATTGTCTAACCTGTTCTTAAAAACATCTACATGTACTTCAAACCTGCCTCAGGGAAGAAATATGAACTGCTTACCTTTTTGCACACTGTACCCACCATTACATGACACCTAAAATGTGTAGTGAGTGTTGGGAAGTTTTAAATTTCTAGGTCTGAATATGGGCCCTATGAATTGTGGTTAAATGCTATAACATAGAGATGTTAATTGGTATAGCACTTATTTTAATTTTCAGAAGGGAAGAGATTTATTTCCATATTTTTGTTCAAAGTCCAGGTTCTTTTTCAAGCAGAATAATGGAATTCAGCATGATACAGACAGTATCACTAAATTTCTGGGCACTGAGTCTCTGAAAACCTGTGTTGCTGTAAATTTAAACATTCTGATGTGAAAATATTGCCGTGATTAATGGCTTGTAGTTCTGCCATGTCACCCATCAAGTGCTCTAACTGTCTGTGAGATGTAGTGGTGAAGAAGATGGCATAGTTGATGATTGCTCCTGCCCCTTCCTTCCCTTTTTCTCTGAGATGGCTAAACTGTGGGAAGGGCTGTGCTGCTACAATCCTAAGTCTGGGCTTCAGGTGGCATTTCCATGGCCAGGCATGTTCAGAATGCTCCAGCCTGGGAGTGCAGGCGAGGTGAGCATCCCTCTGGTGTCCTGTGCTGGGGGCCAGGGTGCCCTGGCGACAGTGGGGCAGGGAGCCCTGCACAAGGGGAAGCTGTGGAGACAGTGCTCCTGCTTTATGCTTCTTCCTGCCTGCTGCAGGAGAGCACTTTTCCTTTTATTGTCCCCATCCAGGTCTTCTGATGCCTCTTTTTAAAAACTATAATTTGATAGGAACTGCTAGAAAAGTCAAATACTTGTAAGAGTTTGCAGACTGAGACTTGATAATTGAACAAATTGGGGAATGTGATGGAGAGTACTGGCACACCCAGTGAAATGCTTTTATAAAGTATTAAAAAATTGCAAAAGTAGTGATCAGGTAAGCTAGCAAAATAATGTTTATGAACTATGTGGCTCAATAGGTCTAAATTCTGTGAAGTATTACTTTAAAATGTATCTCTCTAATGCTTTTCAGAGCATACTATCAAGAGAAAATAAGAAGCAAAACATTGATTTAAATGGTTTTTTTTCGTTTATATTTTGGGGTTTTATGCAAAATACTTTGATTTCCTCAGCAGTAGTCAGGAAGCTATGAGGTGGGGGGAAAAGGATTCATTCATACATAGCACCTTAATTAAGAGCCTGCAGGTGGAGTTTAAGTGCATAATCACAATGTTGTAGCTGGATAACTTGAAAAATGGTAATGTAAAAAGAAATACTAGCTTGTGAAGGTTAAAGTATCCATGGGTATATCAGTTTATGTTTTGGGTAGGGTATCTGAAGTGCAGTAAAGATAAAGGACAAAAAAACAAAGCACTCATTTTCCAGTGTGATCTGGTAATAGCAATAAGCACAGCCATTTTTGAGTTTATGAGCACCGGTGAAGCTAAGAAGCAATTCTAACAGAATCAGGCAGATGTGGTATATCACATGAGGCAGGTATATCACATTCAATTCAGGACATCTTAGTTCTTAGCAAGACTTTACTGTTTGTGCAATTAAAAAGAAACAATGAAAAAATAGGTGTGGACAGAAGAACAGCAATTGCTGTATCTCAAGGACTTGGATGCCTTGAGAGTGGGATCATTGCATTGCTTTGCAGAGTCTGGGTGACAAGTTGAAGTCAGTAGGTTTTGGTGCAGTTTTACATCTGCATTTGCACTGTGTGGGAAATTTCTTGGTCATTGCATATGGGCAGTCTCCAGAGACTTCATGTTAGGCAGAACTCCTTTTTCTGGTTAATCAGTGTTGCTCTGGGTTTGCCTCATCTCCTGTGAACTCTTCCACTACTTAAAAATGTGGCACCTTCCAGGCTGGAGCTGAAGGAGCCAAATGTGCAGCCAAGGTCCTCAGTCTACTTGTTCTCCTTACTGGATTCATGGGGGTAATAGCTGGGGGGAAAGCAGTTCCCTGTGTGCAGTGGTCACCTGTCCACCCTTGGCATGCCTAAAACTAGCCAGGATGCTGCTTTGAATGAAGTAAAAGGAATTAATGTAGCAAGAAAGCAAATTTGATACATTAATTTTTTTTGCAGCTTCCACACTGCTTTCTGGCCACTTTTATATTCAGCTATAATCATTTATATGCTGAGAATTATCTGTAAATTAAGATGATAAATACTTTTTTTAGTAGTATAGGTTAATGTGCCTTCCACCATTAAAGTCCCAGCTTCTGTGTGTGGCTGAAAATCCAACTTGTGGTGACCGTGTTTCTCCCCTCAGTTACTTCTGTCACTGCTGAACTGTTGAGGCCTCTCAAGGAGCCACAAGGAAGGAGAAACTTGTGGATCTTTTCTCCAAGACTCAGTGTTACATAGGAGAAAAAAAGCAGGAACAGCGGAGTTTATTTTCTGCCGAATTTCTGTACTCTTAATATAACCACTTGCAGGAACTGGATCTGTTGTTGAGGAAAGTCTAATGCATGGTGTTAGAGGGAATATTGAAGAGAAAGGGGCTAGACAAAAGCAATGAGTACAGTTCTTTCTGATCTCCAAAATTACACTTACCAGAATAGATGAGTCATGTAAATGAAATATTCTTATCTAGTCATGTTGTTTGTGATTGTTTCTGTTGTCACCATTAGTGGATGGACTGCTTCAAGCCATGTAAAAAATAAATTGTGCACAGAGAATTTGAAGTTGGAAAAAAAAACATAGAAAAACTTTTGAAGCTGACATACCACTGTTAGCCTTCAGAATTTCTCACAGACTAAAATACCTATTTTGAGAATTGTTCTTGAGTTACTGTTTCATAGGTAACTGACAGTGGTGTTGGCTTTGGAACTGCTTGTTCTAAAATTAGATTTTTTAAATTTATTCTTAAAAATTATGTTCTACTGTCATCTTCTGCTTGAATTATTTTATGAGGGGTTTTTCTCTTGATCCCTAGTTTGCATAAAAATTACTGTCTCTTTAGTTTTTTATAGTACTTTCATGAATCTTACTGAGTAGTAGATATGGCACACATATCCAGTTTTGCAAAGGAAGCCCTGTGAGCATGTGGAAATAAGAGGACACACCATAAAAAGGGCAAAAATTTCACCTGATCTAACATTACTGTTCAAGAGATGTACAGATGTGGGAATTAATGCTGGTGGTTTATTTTAATTAACTATTCAGAATACATTCAGATATGTAGCTTAATTTAGTGAACTTATTTCACACTATTACTAATATTTTGCTCAAAGACTATTTAAAAAAACCCACAGCAAACTGGTTTCTTCACACAATTTTACTGGTTAGGTTAATAGGGCTGCTGTTTTTGTGGAAAGTCAAAATCTGTGCTTTTGTATTAATTTTTTGCCAGAACACCACAGAAGTTGTACTTTTTAGTAACTTCCATGTGATGTTTCTACATCAATCTTGAGCAAGTCTAAAAATGTTAAGTTTGGGATGGATT